TTATAGAAGTACAATGTTCTGGTTTTCAAACGTTTTAACTAGCATTGAAGGTAATATTGTGTTCCTTATATGATTTTTCTGTAAAATTTTAATTATCACGTGATGAGCATATGTAATTATCATTAAATTTTTAAAATCATCGTTCCTTTTATTATTAGTATCTAAAGTTTTGCTCAAGGAAAACGCAAAGTTTAGCGATTAATCAACCAAAAAAAATTTAGTTGCGAGCGTTGTCGTGAGGTGATGGGTCTCATCGTCCGTCCGTCGGAAGTCCCCGGCAACGAGATGGCTGAAGAAGAGGTCGATGGAGGTCGAGAGAGAAATGGGTTTGGTTGTGGGAGTGGGAGTGCGCTTGAGAGACGCATGAAAATAAACTTTTCATCTACACCGTCCATTTTTTAATCTGATGGCCACAATTTTTGAGCGGATCAGTCAGGTAAAATTGATGTGCCAGATTAGAGACTCATCCTTAATATGTATATTGGTTTATTTGTTGTATTTCATGTTATTGATTTGTTTCTTCTAATTAATCACTTCGTCATCGGTGTCATGTCGTTCAAAGTCATCCTCCCCATCAAACAAACCCATAATTTTACCAAACTACTTCGCTGTGAGGACAAACGTCTTCCCGTAAATAGTCAATGAGCAATTCTCATCTTTAAAGTTGTCCATCATCCACATAATCACGCATATATCGGTGACTATTGTCTTGAACTGGCTTTCAAATATGGCTTCCTTAGCACTGGGAAACTGGCACCAACATCAATTGTTGGCTCACTAGTAGTGCTTGCCTGTGTTTTCAATAAACCTGCTCAGTTGCTTTTGTTAAACTTGCAATTTAACTTCAGAACTTAAGGTGGTATGGATGACTCTTTTGCCTACTGTAAAACTGTAAAAGCTGATGCTTTTACTAAGCTCTTTCCCCCTCCATAAACGATTAATGTTGAAATGCAAGCCTGATCTTGGTGGCCACGTGTATTGACTTTAAAGCATTAGTAATTGCTCCTTTATCAATATTAGAAAGTCTTGTTATTACAGTTATGTATTAGTTGTCTGATTTCTTAATTCCCGTGATTTTGTTTTTCTTTCCTTATAAGAGAAATTTCATTTGAGGTTAGTGTCCTGTTCCGGAATTGTCTCTCATTTTGTACTCTATTTATTTTGGCTTTCTTTCATTATTAAAAAGTAGAATCACAGAACGAATTGAGTCTGTGTTCCTCCAACCTTTTTCATTTTCTACATGGTATCAGAGCAGGTTTAATCATGTCTCTACATCTTCATCCTTTCTCTTTCAGAGTTATGACTAAATACGGCTCCTCTTTCGGATTGAATACCAACTCGTCATCTTCATCCACCTTTGACATAATCATCTCCTCTTCTTCTACCTCTCATCATCAAATAGAAACTTCTCACTTTCCAATTACTACTCATAGATTGAATGGGCAAAATTATTTGCAATGGTCCAAATCTATACAGATATTCATTTAGGGGAAGGAGAAAGACAACTACATCACCGGGACTTCAACCTCACCAGAAATCACTGCGCCAACCTACAAGAAATGGATGGCAAAAAATAATATGGTCATGTCATGGCTTATCAATTTGATGACTCCTGACATTGGCGAAAATTTTTTGTCATTTGATACAGCCAAGGAAATCTGGGACATGGCAAAAGATATGTTCTCCAATAAGAAAAACACATTAGAAATCGTACAGATCGAAGGCACCATCCACGACTTACGTCAAGGCGACCAAATGGTAACTGAATACTTCAATACCCTTACTCGTCTATGGCGCTAGCTTGGTAGGTTTGAAGTTCATAACTAGTCTTGTGCTATTGATGGCTTGTTACACAAAAAGATTGTCGAAGGGAAACGTATGTATAAATTTTTGTTAGGGTTGAACAAAAACCTGGATAAAATCAGAGGAAGAATCATGGTAGTAAAACCTCTACCTAGCCTAAGAGAGGCATTTTCTGAAGTCCGCCAAGAAGAAAGCCGGAAGAAGCTCATGATGGGATCTCATCAACAACTAAACATGGCAGAAAGCTCGGCACTCAAAACCTAATTTGCTCCTTCTGACAACCGCCAGAATAAGGGAGGTAGACCTTGGTGTGATCAATGCTGGAAACCAGGCCACCTGAGAGAAACCTGCTGGAAGATTCATGGGAAGCCAGCTGATTGGAAGCCGGCTCGTCAGATGGAAAAAGAAGGCCAAGGAAATCACGTCACTACTGAGGAGCAATCATCACCTACAACAAGCCCCTTTAATAAGGAGCAAATGGATATGCTTCAAAAATTGTTGTCTCCTCTCCTATCAGCCAAACCTCAAACCAGTTCATCGTCCAATCATATCATTAGTTCAGGAAATCTAGCTCACAAAGGTAATATTTTGAACGCTTTTACTGTGGGAAAGAAAAGGAAAAAACCTTGGATCATAGACTCAGGAGCTTCTGATCACATGACGGGAGATGCTACAATATTTGATTCATATAGTCCTTGTCAAAATAACGTAACGGTCTGAATAGCTGATGGTTCGCTATCAAAGGTGATCGGTACAGGTTCAGTTGTGCTATCAAAGGACATTACTCTCAACTCTGTTCTACTTGTTCCTAATTTGGATTGTAATCTATTGTCAATTAGTAAACTCACTAAGGAAAAGATGTGCGTTACTAATTTTTTCTCCACTCATTGTGAATTTCAGGATTTGGATTCGGGGAAGACGATTGGCAATGCTGAGGAATGCTCTGGACTCTACATCCTCAAAGAGGGCCACTATCCATAAGAACAACCTCAAGCGGCAGTTAAGGGTAGTTCTTTTTCTGTTTCTAGTAAAAATAACGATAGTGCAATCATGTTATGACACTATCGCCTAGGTTACCCAAGTTTCATGTATCTAAAACACTTGTTTCCATCTTTATTTAATAAAAATCCAAATTCGCTTGAGTGTGAAATTTGTCAATTATCGAAACATGCTCGGTCCCATTTTCCCATTCAATCCTACAAAGCATTTAGAGCATTCACAATAATCTATAGCGATATCTGGGGTCCATCAAAAATAAAAAATATAGGAGGTCCTAGGTGTTTTGTCTCATTCATAGATGATCACACTAGATTAACCTGGGTGTTTCTTATGAAAGAAAAATCAGAAACGGGTCAAATCTTCAAAATATTCAAAAATATGATTCAGACCCAGTTCTAATAAAAAATACAAATCTTAAAGTCTGACAATGCTAGGGATTACTTCAACTCCATCCTAGGAGAATTTCTAGCAAAAGAAGGGATAATTCACTTAAGTTCATGTGTAGATACCCCGCAACAAAATGAAATCGCTGAAAGAAAAAATATACATTTACTTGAAGTGGCTAGATCGCTACTGTTCTCAACCAATGTTCTGAAATTATTCTGGGGGGAAGAAGTCCTTACGGCAACTTTCCTCATCAATAGAATGCCGTCTAGGGTTCTAAAATTCAATACACCTTGTCAAACCTTCCAAAAATCCTTTCCAACAACACGTCTCATTTCCACCATCCTACCCAAAATTTTCGGGTGCTCTGTCTTCGTTCATGTCCATCAAAATCAAAGGAGTAAACTTGATACTAGGTCACTCAAGTGCATCTTTCTTGGGTACTTTTCACACCAAAAAGGGTATAAGTGTTACTCTCCGGCCACGAGAAAAATTTACAATTCGATGGACGTCACCTTCTTCGAAAACTAACCATACTACCCTAAGACTAATATTCAGGGGGAGAATTCTACTTAGGAATATCAGTCTTAGGACTTTGAGTCATTCATCGAGTCATCTATCACCACAGAAAATCACATTCTCCCAGAGTCAAAGAATCACATTCCTCCAGAGTCTTCTAGTCAACCCTTACCTGCTGAAAACACAGAGTTCATTGTTGACTTGCGGGATAAAGAGCCCATCCAAAAGGAAACGAAGGAAGAAGTACTACCTTAGTGAATCCATGAAGCTAAACTGGGTCCTAATCCTAGCAATATTCCAGGTAATATTATCACTAACACTGATGGTATTGTTGATACTAAGTTGGAAAATGATATTTTGAATATGCCCATAGCTTGGAGGAAAGGAGTTAGATCATGTACTCAGCATCCCATTAGGAATTTTATTTCTTATGGAAAATTATCACCTTCTTTTCGTGCATTCACTACTAGCATTACAGAGATACAGGTTCCTCATAATATTCAGGAAGCTCTTGAGTGTCCTACGTGGAAAGCTACTGTTAATGAGGAAATTCAGGCACTAAAAAAGAATGGTACGTGGGAGATTACTGAACTGCCAAAGGGTAAGAAATCTGTGGGATGTAAATGGATTTTTTCAGTTAAATATAAGGCAGATGAGAGTATTGATAGGTATAAGGCTCAACTAGTAGCCAAAGGATTCACCCAATCTTATGGCCTTGACTATCAAGAAACTTTTACACCAGTGGTTAAACTCAACACAGTTCGTGTTCTTTTATCCTTGCCAGCTAACCTCGACTGGCCACTCCACCAACTAGATGTGAAGAATGCCTTCCTCAATGGAAATCTAGAGGAAGAAGTCTACATGGATATTCCTGCCGGTCTTGAGTCGACATCCAACTCTAACAAGGTTTGCAGACTTCAAAAATCCTTGTATAGACTCAACCAATCTCCCCGGGCTTGGTTTGAATGATTCACAAAAACGGTTAAAAGGTACGAATATTCTCAGTGTCAATCGGATCGTACTCTATTTGTGAAGCACATTCCAAACGGGAAGAAGGATATCATTATTGTATACGTGGACGATATTATCATAACAGGTGATCATGAGGCGGAAATTAGGATACTCAAACAGTTATTGGCCAAGGAGTTTGAGATTAAAGACCTATGGAATCTAAAGTACTTCCTTGGGATGGAAATTGGTCGATCAAGAAAAGGTATCTCCGTCTCCCAACATAAGTAGATCTTGGATTTGTTAAGTGAAGCGGGAATGCTTGGTTGCAAGCCTGCCAGACTTCCATGGACCCAACAGTTAAGCTGAAAGCCAATGATGAGAGTGCTCCTATCGATAGAGGACGTTACCAGCGCCTTGTGGGGAAACTTATTTATCTATCTCACACAAGACTTGACATTGGTTTTTCCGTTAGTGTTGTTAGCCAGTTCATGAATTACCCAACTGAGCGACATATGACTGCCGTATATAGAGTTCTGATATACCTCAAGATGACACCGGGTAAAGGCCTATTTTTCTCTAGAACTTCTAAAAGAAATATCGAAGTGTTTTCAGATGCAGACTGGGCTGGGTCAGTGACTGATCGCAGATCAACATCAGGCTATTGCTCCTATGTGTGGGGTAACTTGGTAACTTGGAGGAGCAAGAAACCATCAGTTGTAGCCCGTAGTAGTGCAGAAGCAGAATTCTGCACCATGGAACAAGGCATTTGTGAAGGTATTTGGTTACAGAGATTATTGTCTGAATTAAAAGTGACTTTAGATTAATCTATGAAATTATTCTGCGACAATCGAGATGCAATCAGTATTGCCAAGAACCCAGCTCATCACGACAGGACAAAGTATGTTGAGATTGATCGTCATTTCATTAAAGAAAAAATTGATGCAGGAATATTCATGGTTAGTTAGATTCTGACGAATTGTCAAACGACTGATATACTCACAAAGGCTCTTGCACGAGTAAACTTCGATGATTTTTCAAGAAAGCTAGGCATGATCAATATTTACAGTGCGGCTTGAGGGGGAGTGTTGAAATGCAAGCCTGATCTTGGTGGCCACGTGCATTGACTTTGAAGCATTAGTAATTGCTCCTTTATCAATATTAGAAAGTCTTGTTATTACAACTATGTTTCGTTGTCTGATTTCTTAATTCCCGTGATTTTGTTTTTCTTTCTTTGTAAGAGAAATTTCGTTTAAGGTTAGTGTCCTGTTCCGGAATTATCTCTCATTTTGTACTCTATTTATTTTGGCTTTCTGTCATTATTAAAAAGTAGAATCACAGAACAAATTGAGTCTGTGTTCCTCCACCTTTTTCATTTTCTACAATTAAACCTCACACTTTTTTTTTTTTTGCTAATCAAGCATTTCTCTATTTTGTCCAGAGAAAGAGCTTTTTTTTAATTGGGTTCCACATTTTTTAATATATTTTTTTCCTACAGCCATCTCCCTTGTCTCTCAGGTCATTCCTTGTCTCTCACATCATTCCTTGTCTCTCACATATACACGTGGCCACCAACCTGACTCTTCCTTCTCCTTTTTCTCTTCGTTCAACACATGGCCAATAAAAGCTGCCACTTGCAATGTACGGAAGCTATCACTTACGAATGCTTCTGCAATGACGTGATGAATCTCGCTTGTCCATTTCCATCGAACGACTAAAAATTACTTATTGGATGAGTTAGGTAAATAATTACTGTCAGACTAAAATCTTTCATAAAAAGATGTACAAAAAAGTTTTTAAAAATGATTAAAAAATAATTTCAATAGTCGTTTTCAGATTTTAAGGGAAATAGAAAATGTGTTTTTAATTTTATTTTTTAATAAAAGTTGCTCCAAATGTGATTTTTTAAGTTCTTGTTCAGTTTACGAATTTAAATTTTTAACTTGAATTGATATATAATTTTATGTGAGAATTTTTTATTGTAATAAAAATAATTAAATGTAACTTTTTATAAAAAAATTTAACCGTAATAAAATTAAAAATTTAAATTAATAAAATGTTAAATTAATTTTATTTTTTTCTTGAAAAACGTGAAAAAGTTTTTGAAAAAATGTTCCAAAGCTTTTTCTAGCACGTTACGCTTTTCTAACTCGCTTTCTTGTTTCGTGTTTCCCTCTATTTTCTGACGCGTCCTGGGCTGACTGACAAGTTTCGGAACGTAAAAATAATAATAATAAAAATATTATATCTCACGCACCTATTCTCACCGTCTTCTTTTTTTCCTTCTGTTTGAGAAAAGTTTGAACGTCAACTGATTTCTTCCCATTTTGTATATTGTTTTGAACCGGAAAAATGACGGCTTTCATGTGGGTTTGTTCGCAATCCCCGCAAACAATGGCGGCGATAACAGCAAAGAAATGTGGAAGCGTAAGGAGTCTCATGGATAGAAATGGTGGTGAATGTAATGGGTTTCCGTCGTTTCTTCCGAAAGAGGTGCAAAATATTAAAGACCCATTTGCACGAAACCTGGCTCAGAGGATTGAGAGGCTTCCCGTGAAGGTATGATTTTTACATTTTGCTTTACCAGAATAGCTTTTTATTATTATCTTTTTTCTTTTTTTTTTTTGAAGCGAGATATTTTATTTTCAGTATGAAAATCAGTCAATAGCATTAGATATTGCAGATTGGCTTTGTGTAAAAACCAGGAATGAGATGTTTGTGTTATGCTGAATCTCGTTTCTTGTTTTCTTGTTCTTGCTACTTTGACAAGTGCTAGATTCAAGATTGGTGGGTTTGTTTGAAAAGAAGTGGAGGTAAATTATGGGCTTGAATCTTTCTCGGAGTTTTGAAAACGGAAATTGGAATATGGTGAAACTCCCGGTCCGAAGTGCAAGTTTAGACTATTTTAGAACAAGTTTTTCGTAAATATTTGAAACCCAGAATTGTATTTTGATAAAAAGAAAACTATATATGTGTACTTTATTTAAAGTTCTAATTCAAATGTGACTCTTGTAATTGCAGTGGCAGTTTGGAGATTCTAGTAGTTATACTATGAGCAGTTGTGTGAAACCACTCAAAAGAAGGGAGACCAATCCAGTAGTTCTTCTCCACTGTTTTGACAGGTAAACAAATGTAACAAAATTAAACCATGACTATTAAAACATAATCTCCTGCTTAACATAATTCAATTATGTTCTGTTATACTTGTATTGCTTAGTTCTTGTTTGGAATGGAGATGCGCACACCCATTGCTTGAGGAGGTTGGTTTGGAGACGTGGGCTGTAGATGTTCTGGGATGGGGTTTCTCCGATTTAGGTTCATTCACTTTTCTTTACTTTTGTTTCTCTTAGTTCTATAAGTAAGGCTCTATATTTACTTGCTTTTACCTTGCAATACGGGCTTTAAGACTTAATTCTTTTTTCATTCTCATAATACCCAGAAAGGCTTCCACCATGTGATGTGGCATCCAAGCGTAATCACCTTTATCAGGTATTTTCATCTCACGAGCATCTTTAGAAAAGATCTGAATATTAAATGTTACATGATCTAGTGGAATGGTTTCGAGATATTTTCCTCGTCTAAACGACCGTAGTATATCATGTAGAAGATGTTTAACTTGTTCTGAGAATTTGATGTATGTTGTGTTAGGCCGTCATGAAAGGTTTTTTTATGTTTTTGGTGTCTCGGGTAATTGAGAGATTATTTGACTTTCTTATTCTTATATAGTTCTGGAACTCCTACATCAAGAGGCCAATGGTATTAGTTGGACCAAGCCTTGGTGCTGCTGTTGCAATTGACTTTGCAGTCAATTATCCAGAAGCTGTAAGTTTATCTATTTGTCGAGCTTCTTACCATGTCCATCCATGCCCTTTAAATGCTGTCATAGAAAAGACTTTCTGCCTCTTCCCAAAAGAAACAAAAACATATTTTTACGTCAAAGTTCTCCATTACTGAATTTAGCATTTTAAACTGTGAAAAGCATAAATAAAACTTTTATAATTCAATTATATATCTAAGTAAGTGAAAATTAAAATTTATATTTTACATATATTAATGATGCGATACAGAAAGATCTAGTTTTTATCGCTTTGGGATCACTTCAAGATTAAATAAGGTATTTCTCCAGTTTTTAGAAGATCTATAGCTGGTGCTGGATTTGGACCACGAAAATGTGGTGGAAATAGACCATTAAACAAAACTCGTCACGAAGCGACGATCTGTGACGTGTTTCAACAAAATCCAATCGTTTAGACCTTCAAAAAGATTTTTTGGTGTTAGAGAAAAGTCTATCGATACCTAGTGATTTTTCCTGACGCGTTGATTGCATCTGTAAACGTCCTTTCGAAGTAGCACTATTTAACCACTTAAGTACGTTTGTTTTGTTTCAAAAATTCTACTAGTTTAGAATTATGATTTTTAGTTCTGTTATAATATTTTTTTTTTATAAAAAATTAAAATTATAGATCATAATTTTAAATTTAACAACCAAACATCCCCTTAATTACGAGAATGTGGATCTCCACTGTCCACTCACGAACTCAGCTTGTAAATTGGATTGAAGCTCACTTAACTAGAAATAAGATAATTTATGCAGAGGTTTTTACAATACTCTAGTTAGTAGAAGATGAATTGAGCTGTCTAGATAGTTTTCTGTCTCGAACTAGGCCCTTTTACTAAGATCAGAGCTGATGCAATCCAGACTCTAGCTTTCCTCCTCCTGCTCTTAGTCAAGCTTCTCTTTTTTTTTTTTTTTTTTTTTTTTTCCCCCCGCCCTTTTTCAAAGTTTTTTTTTTTTTTTTTTTTTTTTTTTTTTTTTGTTCCTTTCCTTTCTCTTATTTTAGATTTACTTATGATCAATATTTGCTTACTTTTTTTTGTGGTTTTTCGATTGACAGGTCAAAAAGTTGGTCTTGATTAACGCAAGCGTCTATGCAGAGGGCACTGGTAACCTAGCAAAATTGCCGAAGATGGTAGCCTACGCTGGGGTAGGTATTCATATCTCATGATTTTGCGGATCTTCACAAGTGCTGAAACGGCTATACATGCATACGACATATAATCATATTATCTCAGAAACAAAAAGATAATGAGCTTATTTCCTGACTCCTTCACGAACTGTACTCAGGTGTCTTTCTTGAAAAGCATGCCACTGCGCTTTTATGCAAACATACTAGCCTTCAATGGCATTTCTTTAGCTACAACCTTAGATTGGACTAATGTAAGATATACTTTTCCATGTAAATACTAGCCTTCAATGGTATTTCTTTAATCGCCATATTTGAAGTAGGTGTTGCAATGTAAATTCTAATATAGATCTAATTTTACGAATTAGGTTGGCCGATTACACTGTCTACTGCCTTGGTGGAAAGATGCAACAGTCAGTTTTATGAGAAGTGGGGGTTATAATGTTGCTGGCCAAATTAAACAGGTACACTATCAGTATGCCTTCCTTTTGAATATTGTCAGTAAGTGGTGGCAAGATTCCATAATGAACTGATTTCTTTTGGCCCCTGCTCATATTTGATAGTGCAGGCATTCTATTTGATTTGGGTCATTCTTACCAAATTATCTAAACACTTGTTAGCATTTAGCATGAGAAAAAATGTTGACAGGACCTATTGGCTGCAATTTTTTTACAGGTGAAGCACAAAGCACTTATCATTTGCGGCGAGAATGATCAAATTATCAGCTACAAGCAAACAATGGTCAGTCCTTAAGCTCTGAGCCAAGCTTCTTTAAAAAGTTTATTTATCATAGAATAACCTTAATGTCAGTCACTTTAGTACATAAGCATAAAGCATTACTGTGCCTCTAATTTAGAATATGCTTCTCATCAGCTTGTTCCCTTAATCCCTTTAAACGGTTAAAAGGAGTGCATTTTTCAGGCCTTAACTCTAACAGAGGCAATTTAAGCACTAATTTGATATCCAATTTTTGCTTTGAACTTCTTTGGAAAACAATATACTTCGACTCCAAGGCTATCCATCATATGAGGAGCCTACCATGTTCTAGAAACATGGATCTCTAGATGAAAACCACCTAACATTGATGAATTGCATGATTTTTTTTCCTACTTTTGCTATAATCCGTGTTATGAACATAATGCAGAGGTTACATTGCGAGCTTTCAGATTCGAAAATGAGACTAATACCGGAAAGTGGCCATCTTCCTCATGTCGAGAAACCCGTCTCAGTTGCGCAGTTGATTGAAGAGTTTGCTCGAGATGATAATGCTGACAGGCCCATTGCAAAATTTTCAGGACTTGAGATCCCTGCCGAGGCATATTCTACTTCTACTCCTTAATGGTTAATTGTACATTCGTTTTAGAACTTGATTTTGTTGCTTATGCCTTGCATATATAGAAATAAGGGTGTACAGTAATAGACTTGTTTCAGATATCCATAGACTAAAAAAATTGTGTAAGGTAGCAAAACTTACTAGCACAGGGTGTACCGTGTACAAGCTTCCCACAATTTAACAGTGAAGATTTTGATCTCCACCTAAAAAACGACACTTAATTTATCATCTTAATAGTTTGCTGCAACATGAGATAGGGTGTGGTTTTAATGGTTACTCTAATATTTACCCATCAATAGGTATCATTATTTTAATGTAAAATATTAATCTGATAATTATAATAAATTTTATAATTGATCAAAAAAAGTTTACAATAATTAATGAAACTAGAAATCACTACTATTGAAAACTCGTCCCATGAGATAAACGATATGACGTTCACACTAAGAAGCTTATTCTTTGACTCAAATCCTTTAAAACGGCATGTCACCCTCTGGTTAGAAGTTTGCCGCCTTTTGTAAATAAGCGACACGCCCTTTTTTTGCAAGTTCGACATTCGTCGTTGGTTTTTATGGGCAATGATTTTTGGATTAATTTTAAAAATTCTTCTTGAATTATGACTATTTTAATACTTTGCATTCTGAATTTTAAAAAGTAACATCTATTTCTTTCAAATTTTATTCCGTTAACAAGTTTTTCTCTTTTGTTAGAATGAGTGGCAGAAATCACCACGTATCACTTATTTAGTGAGAAATAAGTGTGCAATTACTCTTATACTCTCATGATCAGATCAGATCAGATTCTAGTTTTTTTTGAAAGAATTCACCCCCTTGTTCTCAAAAACCAATTCTTCATTTTTCTCACCTCATTCATCTATGACAAGCTCTTGCAGTACAAATACTGATGACAGTGACTGAGTGATGAAAGAAATTTGAGGTCCTATTCGATGTCAATATGGAAGGCATAGTACCACAACTGCTTCAACAGAGAGGAAGACAATGACTCTTTCGTTAGGCATGCTTGTAAGCACCAGGGAAAGAAAAGAAATATGAAACATGCTATTGAAATTATGTATACAGGGATATAAATGATGAAATGATCAAAGAGAACTATCGCGATGTAAAGGGGGGGAAAATAGCAAAAACGGTTGAAATTGGATGAATGAATGCTTTGTCAAACCTTGTAGACACTAGCAAAATAAATGTGACTAACAAAAATTGATATTATAAAAAAAAGGAAAAATGGATGACAATAATTCCTCTCGACAGTTGTATAAAAGACCTAGAATCGCGGCTTATCTCTTCAACAATGTGAAAATAAAATAAGGAAAGAAGCTGTAAATTTTTACGCATTTTAGTTTTTTTAATTCCTTTTTTGATAACTTGAGTTTTTTGTTAAGTTATTTACGATAATACCCTCCTCATATAGGTCAAATAAGTGACACGTGGCGATTTTCATTACTCATTCTAACAGAAACGGAAAACTTATTAACGAACTAAAATTCAAAGAGAACAAACATTAACTTTTAAAATTCAAGAAGAAAAGTGTTAAAATGGTCATAATTTATAGGGAAATTTTTAAAATTAATCCATGATTTTTCATTTTCGACTAGTTACAATTAAAACATGGTTGTTTGGAATTGAGAATTCTACCATTAAAAAAAAAACAGAGAATTCGACATGCACATTTCTTTGCAACTTTACCTCAAACATTAATGCTTAAAATACAACACTCGGAGCGACGCATAAATTATGAAGCTATAATCTTGCCGTCTAAAGGAGCTCGTCAGTTCTATAACCAGGAAAAATAAAAATAAAAAAGAAACTTAAAACTAAAACTCATAATATAAATATCAAAATTTCTCTCCCTAACTTCCACATCACTACACGGAAATTCCAGAAGATATGCAGAGCTTTGAATCCACTCCACCACTAACAATGCTGTCGCCTTTCCACCAGTCAGCACAAAGTACCTAAATGATAAAAATAACAATCATAAGCATAAAAGAAAACAACACTTGGCTAAGACTGAGAAAATATTATTCTTTTTTTTTTTTTTAACCTTGTCTTCATGTGAACCAATGACGGATAGAGGCCACTGAAAAAGAAAACATTCATTAGTAAACAGCTGCAGCGGCAATGCTAGAGAAAGTGCAAAAATCACAGTAGGCGAACAACGAGAGTACAATACCGCAGTTCTCAGATCCCACAGCATAAGTTTTCCGTCGTAGGATGCAGAAAGCAAATGGAACCATGATTTATTGTGCCACTTGCAAGCCGAAATCCAAGAAGTGTGAGATGAAAATTGAAAGACAGGAGCAGAAGTTCCTGCAAGAGTAAGAATTTTCGGTTCATATCCGAAGTGTGCCAGTAACTTAACACATGAATATGTTAGACCCCTACTGAAGCAAGTTTACACTAGGAGGGGCAAAACGGGAAGAAAACACAGAGTTAGGGGCTTAAGGGAAAATATTGAAAGTGGCTAGGAGGGGGCTGACGTGGAGGGGGCTATTCTGGGAGTAATTTGAATGGGGGAAGGCCAGCAGGTTTAGGTGTTGAGTATTTTCCATCGTCTGAGTGTTGAGAGTGTTGCCGGAACGGCTGGGAGTGCCGGATTGCTCGAAATCTCCGATCTATCCTTTATATTTCAGTGTAATTTGGTGTTTTTGGTTGATTAGATTAATAAAATTCCCTCTGATTACTCTCATTTACTTGCTGTTTCTGGTGTGTGTGAGTGTGGTATTGGTGTTTGGTTGATTTTCTGAGTTAGGTTCCTAACAGAATATGTATGAGTGCTTTGTCAAAAGAATGAACTTTGTTAATTAGATTAGAGATTATATGCTTGGCTCATTTTACAGACCTGGTTTTCGAGGGTCCCATATCCGAAGAATGGGGTCAGAACCACCAGCAGCAATCAGCGTAGAACTTTCACCTCCAATATCAATGCAGTTGAGAGCTTTCCCACAGTTCTATCAACCAAAGAAATTGTTACATCAAATAACTCCACAAGTTTAAGCGTTTACTTAGAATTTGAGCAGAAAAAAAAAGCTAGAAAAAGAATTTTTGTTCATATTGTTGCAGTAATCTGTACAACACCAGTAAACATCTTCCTTGTTCTGAGACACTGCTAAAAAAGGCAGAATATTTAGACTTACTATGTTCAGCAAATCTTTGCTTGTCTCAACATCCCACCTTCTAATTGAATGGTCCATTGATGCAGAGTAGATTGTTTCACGTTGTAACCACTTTACAGAGGACACACATTGTGTGTGGCCAACTAGTGTCGAAACAGCTTCACCCTGAATTTAATAAGAGATTCTTATTCGTAAGAAGTCAACTAGGAAGGGATACAAATCATTCTGCTAACATCCTAAGGCCAGAAAGGATCTAGCAATAGAAAAATTAAAGTAAAAAACAGACATAAATAGACTTTAGAACGAATTTGAAAAACAAAAAGTAAATAAATGATACGGAAATCACAGAATTACAGAAGCTAACCTGAGATAGAAAGTGATAAATGAATAAAAAATACAACAATTAAAAAGTTTTGTGGAGTCCGGTGAAAAGAAAGAAAGTCACCAGATTTTTTTTCTTTATTTTTTATTCTATTTTGTTTTTTCTTTTGTTTTTAAAATCATGTCACAGCAGTATCCCTGAAAGGATTCGTTGATCCCTTGTATCCCTCAAGTAACACTAATAAATTATTTCACTGTAACACTACATTTAACAAATAGAAAGTAAACTGGCGTCACCTGAAAAAAGAGTAACTAAAATGACTTTTTCCTCCGCAAAGGGACTAGCACTCAAATTCACCGACATACAAAGATAAATAAAGTACCTCCAACTGAGATTCCTCAGCTCGATCATTCACCCTTTTCTTCTTAACTGACACGAGGTCACCTTCTGTATTAGTCTCATTTGACTCCCACAAACTAATTGTGCAATCCCAACCACCTGAGCAAACCTATACACATGTAATGCGAAAAGGGATAGAGCGGATAATCAGAATCTCTACTTCAGAGGTCAATTGACTACTATAGATACAAGGAAATGGACTATACCATGTCACCAGAAGTCTGAGCAGAAACACTCTGAACAGATGCTTTATGTCCACGCAAAAGTTTGAATGGCCTTATCTTCAAAGGATTCTTCACACGCTCTTCTGCACTGAACTTTATTAAGAAAAAAAGATGGAATGCATAAGACTAGCCAAGACATCAAGTGAACATTGTTAAAACAATATTTGATTCCAATTACCTTCCACAGCCTTACGGTCTGATCTTTTGAAGCAGTGGCAACGGTAACCCTTTCTTCCCCTGCACAACAACAAAGCTTATTCCAAAGTATAGAAGTATAGCCATAAATACGTTTCTTAAATATATATATATATATATAAAGCTTTGCAACAGCATCTTTTCTTAAAGAAAAATGATGCTGTATTTTAAAATAAACCAACTGTAAGATATGAATTTTCCTTTTGGTACCAAACGGTCAGATATGGGTGGACATGAGTGTCATGTTGTTAGTAAGTTAACATGATCAAGCTCATAAATAATTGTCACATAAAAGAAACAAACCTAAGTTTTGATTCTTAGACACTTTAAAAGGTCCAAAGATTGACTGTGATATATTTCATTTTCTCCATTACTCGACTAGAAAAACAATCACACATTTGCTAACTTCGAAACAACACTACGCACTCAAGTCGAAAATGGGGGGGGGGGGTCAAAGAAAGCAATGTCATCATGAACAGGTCATTTAAAGCTCAGAACCAAATGAAAATAACAAGAGCAAGCAAGCCAATTGACACATAAAACCACATAGATAATTTTCTTCTTTTTCTCGGGAAAAAAAAAACAAAACAAGAAAAAGAAGGAAGGGGTTTGTAAACTTTATTTTACTGAAAATAGTCCAAAGACCAAAAGTTTTTATCGTTACTGCACCTTCTGGATTGACGATACTAACAGAAGTAATTGCACCACTATGTCCTTCCAGTATATGCGTACACACTCCAGCAGATTTCCACACCCTAAAGACGATTAAATGAAGAAAAATAAATAAACTGAAAATAACAAGCTCCTCTTTATGAACAAATATCAATTCAAACGCAAAAATGAACACCGAAAGACTATGAAATACAAAGGTAAGTATGTTATTAACAATTACCTTCCAAAATTATCATAACATCCTGTCAAAATGAACCTGCCATACATTAAAAACTAAAGCCTTAAAACACACAAAATAAAACATTATTCCTTCCAATCAAGACAACAAAAAACGAAAACAAAAACACATATCCTACTATTTAACATTTTTTGTCAAAGGTAAAATAGTAATCAAACTTCTCATGGGCTTACCGAGGACTAGAACCATCAACTGCACTAACCCAGTCATCATGTAAAGAAGGTTGTTCTTCTTTCCGAGGAACCACGGCTTTTATGTATTCAATTTCCAATACTTTCTCCTGTGATACGCCATAAAACATTAGTAGATATTAACACTAAAATGAGAAAAGAATCTACAATGCAGCTAGTTAGTTCAAATTTATCAAACTAGTTTTTTTTCGGAATCAGAATCAGAAAAATAATTAAGGAAACTGAATTCGAAAGAGACGAAAGTACCGCCGATATGCCCTTGGCGAGAAGGAACTGCTCGAGCGACATCCGAACGAGTTCTCCATCGATCAGAAAATCGAACGGTTCGGGCTCCCAATCAGGATTTCCTGGTCAGAAGCGGAAATCAAAGGTAGAAATCCTCAAAATTAGGCATTCCAATTCAAAAACTCATCCATTTCAGGGCGACCGAAGAAGAGAACAATGGCGAAACCGAAAAGCGTACCAGCTTGGAGAAGATTGTTGACGATGGTGGAGAGGCCTAAGCGGGTGAGACTGGAGGGAATGGCGATGGAAGTAGCAGGGGCTTTGAGAGGAGGATCGAGCTTCGTGACGAAACGCGCTTGGATTCTTCGAGAAGTCTCGTCCGCATCTCCATTGACGTCCATCTCTTTCCGTTTCCTTGGATTAAAAAGAACGACCAGTACTGCGTGAGAAATGAATTTGGCAGTGAAGAAGAAGCAGGAGAAGGAAGCTAGGGTTTTGGGGGAGGGTTAAGACGGGGGTTTAGCGCAAAAAACAAAAAAAACAAAAAAAACAAAAACAAAAACAAAAAACAAAAAAAATAAAAGATATGGTTGGAATTGGTTCCAAAACGTTTTTATTTTTTGTATGAAAATAAAAATGAAAACGTTTTTATTTTTATTTTAGAATCATTTCTGAAAATGCATTTGATAGTTTTATTCAATTTAAAAAAAATTGAAATTGTGTTTGGTGGTTTAATTTTTAAAAATATGTAATAATATTTAAATTAATAATATATTAAATAAATAATAACCCTTAGTTAATAATTATATAAAAAAAATACCCTTAGTTAATACAATCTAAACCCTAATTTGTTGTCACTCTCAATGCGCTTCTCTCTCTCATTTCATCTCGTCGCTCTCTCTCTACCCTCCCTGTCTTCGTCACACTTTCTCTGGTTTCCTCTCTCTTCGTCGTGTCGTGGCTAAAGAAGGCACGCGATCTGACTGGATATCCGGGTAGATCCGGTGCCGTTCATCTCGCTCGTCTCAGATTGAGGACGCTGTGGAGAGCCGGTGCCATTGGTGGATCTCGCCGAGTTCGAGATCCGTGAGGATCGACGTTCAATCCTTCACCGGCGTCAACCGTGGATTCTGCGAGATCTCCCTCCTCTCTTCTCTTTCTGCCCCCTTTCTCTATTGTCGCCATGTCTGGACAAGACGTTGTCGCTACGACGGACGCAATCATCGTCATCATTCGCTTCGTCACCATGAGATCGCGGCGGATCCAAGATCTCAGATCCTAGCTCATTTGTGTTCTCTCTTGCTCATCCCTTGCCGCCATGGATGCAGCTCTGCGTCTAGTTCCGGTTCCATGCGGTGAGAGCATCGGATTTGGGTTTGCTAGATTTTTCCTTGAGTCAAACAAAGTCATGCGTGTTCTAGGTCGATCTGTTGCCAATGAGATCAAATCTGGCCTTTATAGTCTCAGAAGTTTGGAAATGAAAACAAGAAAAATGAAAACGGAAAAAATTCATTTTTAGAAAGATGAGAAAAAAAGAGAAAATGAAAACGGGTGTTTTCAGTTTTGATTTTAGAAAATTTTACACCAAACGCGTTTTCTTACGCGTTTTCAATTTTTTTCTCGAAAATTGTGAAAAATAAAAACGAGACCAGAAACAAACAGGCCCAAAAACAAAGGCAAAAAAATCAGCACAAATTGCCTTTTTTTTAAGGATATTTTTAACAAATGGTTGAGGTTTTGTAAAATTATAAAAATAACCATTTTTATTAACTTAATGGTCAATCATTGATTGATTCAATGGTTAATTACTGATTGAGTTAGAGGTCAATTGTGATTGATTCTAATTTATTAATCAATATTAGTTAATAATTAATCAAAATTAATTAATAATTAACTAATTTTAATAAACACATTACATGTTTATTAAGTAATTGACTGTGGTCCATGAGTCAATTATTGTAAATAAAACGACCATTTTTGTAAAATAAAAAAAAAAATCAGCCATTTATGAGAAGTGGTTAAAAAAGGCCATCTAACACAATTTCTAAAAAAAAAAAAAACAAACTAAACAAAATAAAATGCGGGAATTCCTAATGGCGTGATTTGTTGGGTTGGACCAAACACTTTCTGGCGCATGTGGGTTTTTGGCCCATGTAAATAATTATAAAATTCAAAAATTAAGAGAAAAATATCAGAAAAAATTCCAAAATTTACCTTTAAGAACATGTTTACTTTATATATAAAAAAAAAAGTGAAAAGTGATTCCCTAACAATTACTAACAATTTATTATAATTTAATTTCAATGTGTGTCATGAACGGTTTTCTTACGAATAGACACTGATTAAGTACAAATGTTGTTAATAATTTTAAGATTAGAATGAAACAATTTTTCTGTTAGTTCTCTTTGGTAATGACATTCATGCATTTTTGGTGGAGCAACTATTCTGATGGAATGACTATTAATTGTAAGCAAGAGAGAATATTATCATTTCACTTCATCATATTAAACGTCACCTTAATTATAAATAGCTTTTATGTTTTCAGGATATATGGTTTAGTGAATAGGGGCAATGCAACTTCCATAAATAAATAAATAAATGTATAGAGAATTAGAAGGACAAATAATCCTTTTAAAAAAAATTACTGTAAAAAGGAACATAAAAACAAATAATTTGGCTTATTATGATCTAGAGGCTTTTCTAAGAAAGTAATTGGAGGCTGATTGTGTAGCAATAGACGGCAGTACAGAAATTGAATTTCAAACCGCGAATCAACTTGAATTTATGATGAGGATTGAGGAGTGCTTGGATTGTAGGAAAAATAATTGCTGCTGACCTTGATCAGCAATTGACCATTTTCCCATGGCCCTATAACCTTAGTTTGATGAAGATTGCCCAAGAAAGCTCCAACACATTCCATGTAGTTCCTGATGTGTTTAACCCAATGATCATGATTTTGCAAAGTCCATATGTCAATGTTAAGGGCTGAACAGTCAACGAGACCCAATGACCCTCCAAGATCAACCAAGTGGTACGAAAGACGGCGATGATGAGCGGCGGAAAAAAGAGACGGAGACAAAGAAATCAAGTCATGAAATTCCTCCTTGCCAATATGAAAAGCAACAATCTTTTGCGATCGAAATCTTGGATGTCAGATTGAATGCCAACTCTACAAGGCGTTTTGCCCCAATAAAGAACTCCACCTATAAATAAAGGCATTCCACAAATTCCAAATATAGGACGAGAATGGATGTTTTTAATAGCTCTCTACGATAATGAGACGACGGTGATAATTTTAGGTCTTCTCTAATTGATCTAAACATATATATCTCAGTTTTTATCCCAATCCGGACCACACGATTGTATTTACATTTAAAAGGATGAAATACACATACGACTTTATACCTGTAAAAAGGGTAAAATAAAATGAGTTTCATGTGATTTAAATATAAATTTAAATTTAAATTTATAGGGACGTTAAACCACACTTACAATACCTTTTTGTAGCACTGTCAAATCTCAACCCATACATCCTATACCCTGCTATCACTGAGCGTGAAAATTCATCAGCATAAGGAGAATCTGGCAACTGTATAGCCTCTTGTCTAAAAGGATTGGTCAAATATACTCATATTCGTATGAATTGTGCCTCTTTTATTAATGCAAAAAATAAGCCCTTTGCAAGAATTCTCAATAAAATACTCCTTTGATTTGGAAAACCTGGAAAATAAATCGGAATTATGAATCACCAAAAACTTTCCATCTTCTTTCCTCGTTATGGTTGGATTAACATGGGTGGATGAGGTATAATCAAGAAGTAGAAGTTTTGGTCTATTAATACGTGATTCTCTGAAGAGAAACCCTAATAAGTCCCAGGGGCGCGATTTGTTGGGCTGGGCCGCTGGAACAGACCCTTTCTGGCCCATGTAAATTTTCAGCTATAATTACAAAATTCAAAAAAAAGGAAAAGCCAACACTTGGCCCATGCAGGTCTCGAACCTGCGACCTTCGCGTTATTAGCACGACGCTCTAACCAACTGAGCTAATAGGCCGTTGATGAAAGCTTGGCTACCGTTTATTTTCTAGCAAAAACAAAATGTTCCATTTTTTTATTTTTATTTTAAATTATTATTGAGGATGAAATTTTGGATTTTTGTATAGTGTCATCACACACATCTTTGTAATTGTGGAGTTGGGTATTTTTTTTGGCTGAATGTGGAGTTTGGGTGGGCCTCGTTTACTTCACGGATTTGAGTTTTTAATTCGAGTTGTTATGTGATATTTTTTTAGAGCTTTTCACTGTAGCAGAAAAAGTGAGATGTGATATTTTCTGAGAATTTTTTACTGTAGAAACTTAAAATTAAAAATTCGAATCGGTGAAATGAACGAGACCCTAATAGACTAGTACCAATAGGAATCTCAGTACATCAACGAATCAGACGTATTAATTTTCTATGATGTATCCGATTATACTTTTTTTGATCCAATATTGTTTTCTCTTTTTGGAACAACTTTCTATCAAGTGTATATATTATTGTCCTAGTCCTAATAAGTAATAACAAGATGGAAAATGGTTATTAGGCGGAATATGTGCTGTTTTAAGACGGTTGCCACTTGCCACCCGTTGACCTCAACATTTTATAGCATTGCGCAATATTTAATTTATATCTTTCCTTGTGTGTCGAAGGATGTGTATAACGTGTAGGGTTAATTTCATCTGTGTTTTTAAATGTTAAGAGTTATTCTCATTTTATCTTTTAAAAAAATTTCATTTTTTAAATTTTAAATTATAGTTTAACCTCAATAAATAAATGTTCGATAAATTAATAATTTCGATTAAATAACAAAATCTCTCAATCTCGACTTGAGCTAATGTACTAAATTAATAAAGAGAAAATTCTAAGTTTAACAACTGTTTTTTCCAACTCTATTATTTATGTTACTACATAAAATTTTAATGTTATTACGAAAAATAACCTACAAGTTATAAAAAGATAACCTGCAGATTACAAAAAATAAAAACGTAACATACAGGTTATGAAAAATAACATGCATGTTACGAAAGATAACCTATAGATTATGAAAATATAACTTACAAATTATTAGTGGCATGAGATAAATTTACAACAGTTGTAGAAATAAAATAGTATTACTTTAATGAAACATTTTTTGTTTTCTCTCATTAATAATCTCACAAAATGTATAAGATAATAATTTTTTCTCAAATCCTTTAGGGCCTAATAAAAATATAAATCAATAATTAATAAATAACTTATAAAAAATACAAAAATAACATATAAAATAAAAAAATAACATATAAAAAAACATCATATTAAGGAGTTTTTTTCTTCTAGGTATTAAATTTGAAAAATACGTACATTAATTTTATGTCCATGTATGTACTTATTAACATTTTATGTACAATATACTTACATTAATTTTTGGGCTTCTTTGTACATATGTATATAACATTTACATAAATTACATAAATTATGAGCGCTTGATTTTAAAAAATGCATACTTTTTTATTTATTTACAAAAATTCTACTATTATAAGAACAAAGACTTACATCATGAAAAAAAAGGAAATAAATATGTAAACAACCTCCGTACAAGTCAAATAAAAATTAAAACACCCAAAGTCAATCTCTGTATACATTTAACGAGGAAGGAAAAAATTTGCATTTAATGAAACGTAAATGTTCTAAAGGAAGGGAAATTTTTTTTATTGGGAAAATTTTAAACCACAGATAGCTTTTTAAACATCAGTGGCTATTTCAAATTAATAAAAAAAAAAAAAAAAGAGATATACGCTACATACTAATTACCATAGAAAAATTACTTTCATTACAATAAACTCGAAATACAAAATTTAAAGAAAGGTTAATTATATTTTCATTAATTAATTGAGTGCTAGTATTATGTTCATGATTATAATTCCTTCAAATTAAATTTTAATAATGAGATCACTATGAAAAAAAAAATATAACAAATTATTATGAAATAGAAATAAATGATAAAAAAAAGGAACAGAAAAAAAATCAACATACACGAAAAAATAACAAAATGCGAAATTATTTCATTAAAGCAATTGATTGTTTGTAATCAATTATTTGATTTATTTCTATTATGGTATTTGAATTTAAGAGTTCTATTTTTCTTTTATAGATTTCAGAATCAATACTTTTTTTCCTTAAAAATATGTTTCTTTTTTTCAGATTTTTTGTTTATTTTATCTTTATTTTTCTTCGTAATGACATTTTCATTATTATAATAAAATTACTTATTTTGTAAATTCGTGTGTTCTTGCATATTTATTATTTAAAAGTTTTTATATGTTTCATAAGGTTATAATCATTAAAGTAATGCAATTCGTATTTGATTCGACTTGAGTCCTCACAAACTTTATATTAGAGTTGAAATAAAATTATCGTATTTGATTCGACTCGAGTCCTCGCAAACTTTATATTAGAGTTGAGATAAAATTGTTATGGTACGTTGGCTCTTGTCAGGCAACTCTATAGCCTCTTGCCTAAAAGGATTTATCAAACACACTCTACTCAAAAAAATTGCGCAGGCTTTATTCAAGCAAAAGTGAATCCCCTTGCAAGAATTCCCAACGAAATACTCGTTAGATTTGGAGAACTTGGAAAATAAATCGGAATTATGAATCACCAAAAGCTTTCCATCTTCTTTCCACGTTATGGGATCAACATGGGTGGATGAAGTATAATCAAGAAGTAGAAGTTTTTGGGCGAGTTTGGTAGTGTTATAAATTTTTTTAAAAATTACTTTTAACTGTACTGAAAGAAAAAACAGTTGTTATAAAAAGCAGTTGAGTGTTTAGTAAGTTGTAATTATACAAGTGTTGCTGGTTTCAAAAGCAGTGTAATATCATTTGGTAAATTGTGAGGTTTAATTGATGTGGACAGTTAAGATGACTGTAATTAATAATCTTAAATTAATATATAAAGTAATTAATAATTGATAATTATTTAGCAAATAAAAATTTATATATTAATAATATAATAATAAAAGATGAATTATCATTAATGAGTAAATTAGTAATTAAACTATATATATAATAAATTAATATGATAAATAATTAAAAATAGTATTTAGTAATTAATTATAAGTAATTACTATGTTAGTAACGTACTCATATTTATTAGATTATAAGTAATTAATTAGTGTATTAAGAAAAATAATTAGTATATACATAATTTATTAATATTCCTTTTACTACTTAAATTATTAACTTTTAGTTACATAATTAAATAATTAGTTAATTAATTACTAATGTTTATTTAATAATCTATTAGTTAATTAATTCCTTTTACTCAAAATGTAAATTTTTAAAAAATTTTGGGGTCAAATGTAATTTTTCAAAAATTTTATGGTCAAAATATAATTTGTCATAAGTTTTGGAGTCAAAATTTAATTTTTCAAAAATTTTGGTCTTAAAGTTTAATTTTTCAAGAAATGGGGGGTCAAAATGCAATTTTAAAAAATATAAACTTCCTTATTTTTAAACAATTAGGTCATGTTTGGTAGCTTGCATTGTATTGTATAACGTGTATTGTATTGTATTGTGTTATCATAATACAATACAGTGTTTGGTGTCATGACGTATTGTATAAAGGAAATTTAATAATTTGGGGTCAAAATATAATTTTTGAAAAAAATTTGGAGTCTAAATATAAATTTTCAAAAGTTTTACGGTCACAATGTAATTTTGTAAAAGTTTTGAGGTCAAAATGTAATATTTAAAAATATAAATTTGCATTGTGTCACCTCTATTTTTCACCAATTATAGGCTCCGACATGACCCTATATCGGCTTAATCCCGACCCCTAGTCGTGCCAACCCCGATATGAATTATCGATCTACTATAAAATCATACAATACAATATGTCAAAAATGAGCCGTATTCAATAATACGACATAGACTGTATTAATTTACCATCCGTATTAGTTTATACAAATATGATGGTCACATCAAATATTGTATTATTATACAATACGGTGCTCTAATACGGTCAAACAAACATACCCTTATAGGTTACAATATGACCACGTGTCTGCCCGACCCCGACCCTCAGTCGTGCCAAATCCCAAAGTGGATCACAGACTCACTATAAAATAATATAGTACAATACACAAAAAATGAGCCGTACTATATGATATAAAAAATACCGCATTAATTTATCATCCGTATTATACAATACAACGATCATATCAAACATCGTATTGTAATAAAATAATACAACATGATATTGTTATACAGGCAAACAAACATACCCACACATGTTTTGGAATTTCTATTGTAGCTCCGGTACAATTAGGCATGTAAGTCGGCCGGGTAGGATCGACCTTGGGCCTGAAATTGGGTTGAGCCGCAATGTGCGGGCTGAGAAAGATTTGGGCCGCAACACTTCTTTAAGGCAACAAACCCATAACCCTTCAGATTACCTCGGGTAGGCTCGGGGTGACCGAGTTGGTTGTATTGGGCCTTGACGTTGGGGTTCTTGCAATTAAGGCCATTATCATTGGCCAAAGAAAAACGTTGGGATTGGGCCTGAGTTGTGTGTGTCCGAAAATAGCCGTGATCAAAGAAAACGTTAGAATTGGGTCAAAGAAAACATTAAATTTAGGGCTAATTTATTTTTCTGTGCTGATAAACTCAGCCAGGTAAGGGCAATATCAGGTTTCTTGAATCTGCCCCGTAACTCTACTCGCACTTTGCAGGTTGGGCATTATTGCTACCGCAAAAAAAAAAATCCTATTATTTTTAGGTAAGTAGAATTGGCTCAGACGAGTTTGGTTTGAATTCTTACACCCCTAAGTACAGTACATGTTTTGGAGTTTCTATATCCTAATCCTAATCTCATCTTAATCTTAACTATATTAAAAGAGTAGAAAAAAGCTCCAGTATTCACTCCTTAGTCGTACTATACGCACCGTGTTGGTGCTTAGCCACTTTTTTCCTCCCTTTTTTTTTTCTTTCCTTTCTTTTTATCATGCGTTTATATAAATATATATATATATATATATATATATTACTTTTCTTTTTTTTCCCTTCTAACTCTATTTACTGTAGTCTTGTACCCTTAACAGCACTTGAATCTTATTTTTTTTTAACTCAATTGATTTCGTGCTTTATCTTTTTTTCTTCTTTTTTTAAACTCTATTTTGTCGACCGTAGTAATTACATATGGTGTTCTACTTTTTTTTTTTTGCCTTTCTTCTTTTTAGCTCTTATGTGTATCGTAATCTTTTATTTTTGATACTCTCCTAACACTTTCCTTTATGTTCCTCTTTTATTTTCACTCGATTTGAACACTATCACTCTTTCTCATAGATTTCTTAAATATCCAATCTCAATTTTCTTATCATAATAATCTCTTTTGTAACTTTGGTTAATTATGACTAATATTGTGGTTAGTTTCTTTCATTACTTCCATGATCAAATGTTTGTGTGCGTGAGTATGTGTCTTTATTTCATTTAAAAAAAAAAAACTTATTTTTTCATTACTTTTTGTTCCTTACTTTCTCACTCTCTCTGTTTTTTTTTTTTAATTCCATTCTTTATCTTTTATTTTATTTATTTCTATTTTAACTTTCTTTTTTAACCCCATGTCCACAAATATCTCATACAAACGGTCTTTTACCTTTTCTTTTCCGCTTTTATTTTTTTCTTTCTTTCTTTTTGGTTCCATGTATCTATCATAGTCACTTACACTAATATTCTCCTAATTTTTCCTTTTTTGTTTCTCTTTTACTCTCCTACCTCTCTTAGATCACTTAAACCTTAATATAAACTTTCTCATCAAAATAATCTCCTTACTTGTGCCCTTTTTTTTTAATTTTTTTATCATATAAGTTAGCAATTTAATTATATAAAATTTTCACTTAAACTATTATTTATAAACTCTTCTTATACTTTTTATCATATAAGTGACTTTTTTTTTTTTTTGAAGGTTACTGACTAGTTTTTAGTAGCAGTAAATTTGCTTTCTTTTTTTTTGAAGTTGTAATTGTAAATTTGCTTTCTCAAGGCAAATATCTAGGAAAAAGTCCCTTTATAAGTAGTTGGAAGGAGTTCGTTAAATCCGTGAGGGTCACGGCCCACTTCTCAATTTGACTAATCTGCCCTCGAAACATTTGTAAAAGCCCATAAAACAAAACTATTTTATTATATATTCAAAGTAAAAAACAAAATGGAGATTAGTCAAAAAAAGTACACAATATTTTATTATATATTCAAAGTAAAAAGAGAAATTTGCAATCCCAAGCTCAAAAGCGCCTTTTCCAATCAACTTTGTACGCAATCTTATAAATGCCTCACTCTCCGCGCCACTTCATTTCCATCTTCTCTCTTCTGTACGGCATCCATGGCCACAAGAATCATGATTTCATTTCCAGTTCCACCCACTTAGATGACAGCTAACTCAGATTACGTATTGTAAACCACGGATTTAGTAATCAGGTTTGTTTTTTAGTTCTACTTATCTTCATTCAAATTTCTAAGCTTCTTCTTTATCGAATTTATTATTATTATTTTTTGCTGGGTGCTGTAGATAATTAGTAAGTACTTCTTTATTATTTGGTTTCATTGTTATTAATGTTCGAGCTTTGATGATTGTCTTAACAGGAAGAAATGGGCTCCACTTTACTGACCCAGATGGCATTTGGGATTCTTCCTTCCAATGCCGTAGTTTCTCCAGGTGCTATTGGCAAACGGGTTTTGAATTTATATACGGGTCGGATTATCGTTTGCTCTAAAGCTGCTTCAAAGAGAAAAAAGTGCGTAAAAAACATTGCTTAAATTGCCCATTCTTTGAATTCCTGTGTTGATGACTTGATTCCCGTGTTTGAATTTGTTTTTTCTATTTATGGTTAAAAAAAATTGATGTTTGTCGTTTGTAAGTGAAGTTTTCATGATCATGATGAAAGTGTAATTACTGCAGGAAAATTTCATGTAAAGACCAGGTGATTTCTAGATCAAGAAGTAGAATTTTCTCGAGTGTGGTATGGATTTTCTCACCTCTACGGCTCTCCTTAGGACTTTATGTTCCTTTAATGCTTATGGATTTTTACAGTCATCAAAGCTTATAAAGTAATCGTTTAATGTAACTTTAATTCATAGAGGTCAAACTCAAATTCAAAGAAATATATTGTTGCAAAGGAGATGAAGCTTAAATTTCATCTGATTGGGCATGATTTATTTGTCTTCCAAATTCCAAAAGGATGAGAAAGTGAGTGATAAGTGGTTATGGGTTTTGATTCTGATGGCAGGGTGATTCCAATGACGCTGTCACTGACTTGGTCGATGATGGTTATTTGTCGGGTGGAAGTGAAGTACTGGGGACAGGAGAAGAAGATGAACTAATGAAAGCTAGACAAGCTCTCTCCGAGGCCAGAGCTAAGCAAGAAGCCATTCAGAAGGAGAGAGATCAGTTGATTGAAGAGTTGGCCCGTTCAGAGGCGAAACAAAAGGAATACATTGATACCATATTACATGACAAGGAACTGGTTGTTTCAGAACTTGAGGCAGCTAAGTCATTGTTCCACCAAAAGCTGCAGGAGTCGGTCGATGAGAAGTTCTCACTGGAGTCTAAGTTGGTCCTCGCCAAACAAGATGCTGTTGAACTTGCAGTGCAAGTAGAGAAGTTTGCAGAGATAGCTTTTCAGCAGGCTACTTCTCACATACTAGAAGATGCTCAGCTCAGGGTTTCGGCTGCTGAAACTTCTGCGGCCGAAGCAGCCTATCAGATAGAAAAGCAAATCAAGGATGCCACTGAAGGTACTATTTCGTCGATTGTGGAGCAGTCGAAAGACGCCATAAACAAGGCCCTTGATGTAGCAGAAAAGGCTGGTGATTATGCAACAAAAGCAGTGTCAGCTTTTGGTGGCGGAATAAACCCAGTTGAGGAGATTGTTTCTGTTCAGTCTGAAAATATGAAGTTAAAGCGTATTGTGAATGATTTAGAATCTCAGTTATTGCTTATAAGAAGCGAGGTTGATAAGTTGAAATTGGAGATGGAACAGGTTCGCGAGCAAGCGAATGCGTCTGAGATTCGTGCCAACAATGCTGAGAAAGAATTAGTAGAATTTCAGGAAGCAAACAGGAAAAAGGCCCTCCAGCAGGAGGAGGAAATCAAGTCACTGCTGGAGAAAATGAAGAAAGATGCCTTGGAAAGAAAGAAGGCTGCTACAAAAGCGTTTAAGGCCGAGTTGGAAAGCATCAAGGCTGCTATTGAAGCAGCAAAAGAAACAGCTAGTTCCAGAGATACTGCCTATCTAAGGAGATGTGAAGCTCTCCAGCGATCATTGAAGGCATCTGAAGATGCTTTGAAAATGTGGAGACAAAGAGCAAATCTTGCAGAGTCGTTGTTAGTGAAGGAAAGTCCACTAGTTGAAGGGGATAAAGATTCCATCTATGTTGTTAATGGTGGAAGGATAGACCTTTTAACTGATGATGATTCACAGAAGTGGAAACTTCTAAGCAACGGTCCTCGTAGAGAGATACCGCAATGGAGAGCACGGAGGATACGCACTATCCGTCCAAAGTTTCCTCCAAGAAAGATTGATGTAGCTGAAGCGTTGACTTCGGATTTCAGAACTTTGGATTTGCCTAAACCTGATAAGGTGTGGTCCATTGCTGAAGAAAAGCTGAAAGACGGGGATACGCTTATCGAGCAGGTCATGGAGAAAGAAACAATAGAGAAGAAGCGCAAGGCTCTTGAGCGTGCTCTTCAGCGAAAGACCATACAGTGGCAGAGGACACCAGAACATACGAAATTAGGTAAGTTTTCTTGTGTCATCAAAGTGTTTCTTATTCTTCTTATTCTTCTTCTTCTTCTTTCTCTTTTTTCGAATAAATATTCTTTTTTCTCCTAATTTATCGATCTGAAACAAAGCCTGTATTTACATGTAATTTTGACATGCACTTCAATGCAGAACCAGGAACTGGAACCGGGCGAGAGATTGTGGTGAGTACCTAATTGATACTCATTATAGATAAATGTAGATGGATATTCGGATTGCTTTTATCATGTTTATTGATATGAAGTATGTGCCTAGGCTCTTTTGATTAAAGTTGCAACTTATAGATGTTTTATGTTGCATTAAAATTGTGATTATTCAATATTTGATTTCTCTGGAAATGAAATGGGTTATGTTGTTACATGATAATTTTGAAGTAAATGAGAATTAAGATTGCTTCTTGTATGCAGAAGTGTACTAGAATTTATGAGATTACTTCTTGCTATCAATGTTTTTAAGTTTGGTCAAGGTGCATCCCGAATGAGAATGTTGTTTCTGCTGCCATCACGATACTGTCAAGATTACTTGAATTTATAGTTTTCTCTTTCCTGCCTTTTAAGCTGTACTTTTTACTGTGTGGAATTCTTGTATGTCTAATTTTCTACAATGCATCTTGTCTGATGAGTACTCTTTTCCGCGTGAAGTTTCAAGCTTTCAACTGGGAAAGCTGGAGAAGGCAGTGGTACTTGGAGCTGGCTGCTAAAGCTGCTGATTTATCCCAGTCTGGGGCAACAGCAGTTTGGTTTCCACCACCAACGAAATCTGTAGCTGCTCAAGGTTTTTCTCACTTGATTGTTAAAGTCCTACTGGCCTTTGATGATTGTCTAAACTCCATCTTATGAATTTTTTAATTGTTTCTTTTTTACGCGCATAGATATTGCTTTTCTATTGGTTTCAAATGCCTTTTAGTTTTACGTGTTTTGTTAAACTAATTAGAATTAGTTAAGGACTTAGAAAGACTCATTGTAGTGTTCAATTATCTAATGAAATGCAGGTTATATGCCTACTGATCTTTACAATTTGAACTCGGAATATGGTACTGAGGAAGAACTGAAATACTGCATTGAGGAAATGCATTCTCACCACATTCTGGTATGTGTGAAATATTTATTTGAAAGGATGAGTCTTGCAAGTTGAACCTAATACATGTTTGGTTCCTTAAAATTTGAGCTCTACCTATGTTTCCCATGAATATAGGCCTTAGGCGATGTTGTACTGAATCATCGATGTGCGGAAAAACAGGTAAACTCTCTTTCTCATTGAACTTCATGCTAGTTCATTGGTGACAATGAAATTACCACAGAAGAAACACCTTTGAGATTGCAACATTTATCACATCTTGCAAGGTTCAAATAATGTAGTTGGTTAATTGGAATATAATTTTAGATTCCATTTCAGAGCGCTGTGGTGATGCCTGTTGATGAAATTTACCTATTGCTGATTTCAGAGTCCAAATGGTGTTTGGAACATTTTTGGTGGCAAGCTTGCTTGGGGGCCTGAAGCAATTGTTTGTGATGATCCAAATTATCAGGGTCGCGGAAATCCTTCAAGCGGTACCGTGGTCCCTTTCTATTTATTTATTCATTGCTGGAGTACAAATACTTGACAAGAAATAGCTGCTTATAACTGGTAGATTCTCATGATAAGATTATCTAATTGCATATCGTTCCCAACCTCATGCCTTGTTCTATGAGCATAAAAGGAATAAGTCCAACAAATTAATAGAACAGTGATATGAACATGTTATATGACTTATCTTGAATGGATGATTATGAATTCATATCCTTCAGCTAGAATCCTGTAGCTGATCTGCTCGTGGAAACCTTTTAATTGCAAGTTCCAACGTATTAACTCTACTTCCTATTTGTCTGTTGTTGAACACGAAAGCGTTATTATTGTTATAGAGAGTAGGTGGCAAAGTAAAGCCTTCCTTCTTACTCATCTCTGCTCTTAATGCTGTGCATAGGTGATATATTCCATGCAGCACCAAACATTGATCATTCGCAGGATTTTGTAAGAAGAGATATAAAAGAGTGGTTAAATTGGCTTCGAAATGATATTGGTTTTGATGGGTGGCGCCTCGACTTTGTAAGGTTATGCATTTCTCTAGTTTCTCAGCCTCTAACATTTATGTCTTCAAACACTTGCTGCTGTCAATTTCAGTTCTTTCCCCTTATAAGCATGAATTATAAATGGGAAATTGAGAATATAAGTTTGGTGGAAAAGAATGTAAGCTTCTGTTGGATCATCAGAGGCCATTCACTAAAAACTAAAAGCTTCTGTTTGCTATGTATATGTTCGTCATTCATACATTCTAATTGTACTTACTACAAATAAATACTCTTATTTACATTAGGATTTTCTGATATCAAATACTAGTTACATTATCATATAATAAAGAAAAGAGGCTGATATGTATTTGAACGAAAAAAATAAAATTGTTTTTTAGACCCTTCCATAGGGGAATCACGATCCTTGATTCAGCATATCGCAGTGTGATATTTGGGAAACTTTTGAATACATTTATTTACTCTGCATATCTGTTTCTATTACTAAATCATAGTGGAAAAATTGCTGTCTTCCATGTTGTTCACAGAGGCTTCTCGGGTACATATGTAAAGGAATATATAGAAGCTTCAAATCCCGCCTTTGCTATTGGAGAATATTGGGACAGTTTAACTTATGAACATGGTAACTTGTGTTACAATCAAGGTAAGTAAGGCCTGTGGGTCAATACTAGTGGCATTAATTCCTATCTTTGCTCAGTGTTGCAATACCCACATGCATACTCCTACTGAATCTGCCTAGTTTCATGTCTCAGAAAATGCACTGTTTATTTGTCTGCAAACTGGTCAAGGTGTAGAGTAAAATATTTCGGAGATATCATGCTTGATGTTTATCTACGGTATAGATGTCATGAAGATTTTTTTGCTACCCAAAAGAAGTTCATATCCGGATCTTGCGCTAGCAATTTATATTTTGACACAAATCATTTCTTCAAATTATGCTCTAGGACGACTTCGGAAAAAAAAAAATAACGGTCTAGGATAATTATGGCAAGGGATCCGGGATACTGTTATTTATGATCCGGGATACTGTTAGTTGCTCTATACGTGCATGGTTTATTCCTAGGAGGCTTGAAAAGACCTTTTAACTTCATAAATGGACTCCTTTCTTATTTTACTAGTTTCCTGTCAATTTTTAGCTCTCCCCACAAAAAATGTGGAGTCTTACATATTTGACTCGTGATAGAATTGTTGTTGTCGTACCTTGAAATTGCTTAAATTCTAGATGCTCATCGGCAAAGGATAGTGAATTGGATCAACGCCACAGATGGTACGTCTTCAGCATTCGATGTGACAACCAAGGTAATCTTTATGTTTTCTTAGTATTTTCACATGAATAAGACTAAGAGAATAAATTTCATAACTTTTAGGTCTTCTTTATTGAGTTTCCCAGATAATCCCTCTCCTGTTTTTAATCTTTTTACAGAGAAATCTCTCTTGAAGATTTTTTTTTTTCGATCCACGATTTTGAGGTATTGCACTTATGCAGGGAATACTCCACTCTGCTCTGCATAACGAGTACTGGAGGTTGATTGATCCTCAAGGCAAGCCGACCGGAGTTATGGGATGGTGGCCTTCTCGCGCTGTTACATTTTTAGAGAACCATGATACAGGATCAACACAGGTCTCTCTCCTCAAACACCCAGACAAAGAACACACATGCACATTGGAAGAATTATTTGTATTATAATTCACCAAATTTTGCATTGCTTACTATAGCATTATCGTACAATTCATGCAAATAAATCATTCTTTCTATCCGACAGTCATGTCTCAATGGTGGTTAGGAAGTTCCATATTATCTCTTTCTCTCTCTGTCCTTGATAAGCGACACTATAAGAGTTTTGAGTTATAACTCATTCATAAGTGATCTGTTTAAACTTAAGTTGAAAACTGATGAAGCTTAGAGAAGGAAATGGACTAAATTAATCTGTTTGATTCCAGGGTCATTGGCCATTTCCGCGAGATAAGCTTGCACAGGGATATGCCTATATCTTGACCCATCCTGGAACAGTAAGTTCTTAATCCTTCAGTTGCGATATTGCTTCTTAGGTGTTCCATGAAAACCCCACATGTGGTTGAGACTAACTAATGGATCCAAGGGATATGTATTTTTTGACAAATGGATTCACTATTGAAAATTTTACATAATGATTTGTGCCAAGCCAAGCTTAAATTCCCTATTTCCTTTTGCAGCCAGTGATATTCTATGACCATTTCTATGATTTTGGCATCCGCGACATCATTACCGAGCTTATCGAGGCTCGGAGAAGGGCCGGGATCCATTGCAGGAGCTCTATGAAGATATACCATGCAAACAAGGAAGGTTATGTTGCACAGATTGGTGACACCCTGGTGATGAAGCTAGGGCATTTTGATTGGAATCCCTCCAAGGAAAATAATCTAGATGGGAGCTGGCAGAAGTTCGTTGATAAGGGATCAGATTATCAGTTGTGGTTAAGACAATAGTTTGGGAGGTATATAAGCAAAGATGAGACCTTCACCTTCTTTGCTAAGCGTACCATAATACATATTGGCTTCATCTCTGGTTAATAATGGACATCATTTGCAAGTGGGGAAACTGCAATATGATGCAAAATCTTCTTGTTTTACTATTACCAAACAGGGGGAAAATATAAAAATCCATGCATTCTTCAACATGTACGGAGTATCCGCATCAAAACACCAAAATGCATCAGTTGCGGTGACTTTGCAGGATATTACATCAAAACGAACAAGGATATTTACATATTTATACCCTGTATTTTATGTTATACTTTCCATTTTTAATCTTATTAAATGTATACTTTTAAATTATAATTAATATATAAATCTATACCTTTTTGGGATAAAAACCTGATTTTGTCATGTGAATTTACGAAATTAACCTTAAATTGGGGTTTGTACAATGAGACACATCCTAGTTGCCAAATAGATAGTTTTGTGTATTGGCTGAAGGAAAAAAAAAAAAAAAAAGAGAGAAAAACTTGCTAAAAACCTCAAAACGCAAGTAACTTTCAATACAGGCCGTTTAATTCATTAATTTGAATTAAGATGTGATTTTATATGATAATTTTTTACTGTAATAAAAAAATTAAATGTAATTAATTTAAAAAAAATTTACTGTAATAAAATTTAAATCGATAAAATAAATGGACTTGTTGTCCCAACTTCACATGGATGCAAGCACTAGCCGAGATGGAGTGGCGACTTCGAACACTGGTGGCCAAGTCTTTGCGGAGAATATAACCCAACCAACCCCAAAGTCAACAAACTCAAGAGGAGAACTTGGGAGGCAGTGACTTTTCGGCCTTTTGACTGCTATTGCAGTAAATTTGCTTTTTGGATTATGTACACGAGGATTTAAAGTGTCCATCACGTGTGTATATGCCTCATGCTTTTACTGTGTTGTAAATGAGGAGTTTGAACTGTTATTATGGTTGTATATGCCCCATCTTTTTGTTTTACTTCTAAATGCCGTGCCAAGTACGTATATATCTTCTATTGCAACGTTGAACACGTGTTTATAATTTACACATGACTGAATAGTATGATCTTTTGAAATGATATATTAGGTACTAAATAAAATTAGTGCATTATCTATTTCTTTATTTATTTTTTGGTCAATAATTTTTTCCTTTTTTTATTTTATTTTCTGTAAACTATTTTCTTGTTTAGTTCCACGTATAAGCTAAACATCAGTGAGTGTTTGGTTATACCTTCAAACCACTTATCAAGGATGTTTTAGTAATTAAAAAGGTTTTTCTGATGAAAATAAGGTGTTGGCCTACAATAGGCGTGGATTTATATATTTATTGTAATTTAAATGTATATATTTTATAAGATTAAAAATTGAGAGTATACTTTTTGAATAAACATAAAACAAAATGTATAAATATGTAAATATTCCAAACAAAAATTTGGAAAGAAAGTTTTTTTTTTTTTTTTTTGGTGGGGACAAAAAAAATCACTGAGATGATAGTTTAGGTTATTCTCAAATGATTTGGTAGATGAGGGGTCATAAATTCGAGCTATATGAGAAACACTTGAGAGTATTTTAATTTCAAGTTAGCGACTTGATGTTCACAAGCCTTTGGTGGGGTGATGCACTTCCTCTTTGACGTAGGTTTAGGCCTCGTTCATTTTACCGATTCGAGTTTTCAGTTATAAGTTTCTACAGTAAAAGCTCTTAAAAAATGTCATATCTAACTTTTTCTGCTACAGTGAAAATTTTTAAGAAAATGTCACATCTCAGCTCAAATTAAATACTCAAATTCACGAAGTAAACGAGACCTTAATTCAGACATTACTTAACATTTGGGGCTCCTATGGTCACGTTTAAGAAGATAGCTACGATTTTTATTCTACCCTGCACTTTTTCTGTTTAAGGAAAAGAGAGAGGAGAGAGAGAGATAATTAAGAAGAAAAAAAAAAGTCAAATTTTCAAAGAGTTGCCACCGCTTGATAAGATATTACACTGCTAGAATGTCTTGTAGGTTTACTTCTCAAAAAACATCACGCCGCTTCTCTTGACCAATTTAGACAGCATGTTGTTTACCAGAGATTTTATGAGTATCGATGACCAAATAAAGCGTGTAGCTCTCATGTACAAACGACAAGCTTTTTCTGGTCCACAAAAGCTACACGTCTGTTTTTGATTTGAGAGTTTAGGTCACGTTCACTTCACCAATTTGAGTTTAAAATTCAAATTTTATTACAATAAAAAGTTTTAAAAAACAGTCACATCTATTTTTTTACTACAATAAAATGCTCTCACATAAAATTACATCTCAACTCGAATTATAAATTTGAATCAGTAAACTAAACGGGCCCAAATCAAGTAATTTGAATCATAATTTAAATTTTATGAAAAATTTAATTTTGTGTAAAAGAAAACATTGTTTGAGCCTTTGAACCCTAAAACTAAACATGCAAGTACATGTCATCTCCATCATGCACTTCTTTTAAAATGTAAAAAGACGGTGTCAATTCAAGGAAAAAAAAAAAAGGACTGTCATTTCTTATTTTTGATACACTTTGACTAGGCAACATAAAAACGACAATCTATAAGTAAACGAGTTGTCGTTATTTATATGAACAACTCCTTAAAAACGACCTGGCTTTTAATTAAACGTGATAAGCAACAAATCAATGAGAAACGACATTATCAGTTGACAAAAAAAAAAGACGGAAGAAGAACAAGAAAAAAGAAGCGGTATTATTCCTCGGTTAACAACACCTTAGAATGAAATCGCTTGTGGCATGTTTATTTATCCGTAATTGAAGTGGATATAAATTAGAGTAGATAAGAATTGGAGTTATGAATCAGAATTAGAATAAGCTGTTTATTTAGGTTTTAGGATCAGAGTCAGAATCAGTTTCAATCTCATTCATGCGTTTACTTACACCTATAATCGGAATAAACTGTTATAAATTTACTTACTTATCCTTTTAGTAGATTTTTTTGTGTTAAACTTAAAAAAATTGTATATTATGCTAACTATCCTAATATTAAGATAACTAATTAGTAATTAGATTTTTTTAATCACACGTAATCACACCTAAATTTTTTTAATTAGTAATTAGAAAATTGTAATGGTCTGGATCTCCATGAATCCTTTAAATGATGTTGTGCAATCAAGAGACAAAACATGATTTGATCGCAGATTCAACAAATAAACACAAAAAAAAAATTAAAAATAAACATGCGATTCAATAAACAAGAACCACAATGATTTATGTTATTGACTCGCCTTGAAGAGAAGAGGGATGCTCTTGGTTGCTGTGGATGCAATGCTGTGTTTTGAGGAGAAGAAATATGAGGAAGTGAGCAAGAAGATACGAGAGACATAAAAGTAAATTATGAGATCTTTAATTTTTTACATTTTACTTTTCTATTCACAATTTTGTTAGTAGAATTAAAGGTAAAATCGTAATTCATATTTACTATCAAAATTGAGAGTGCCAATCCGGTAGGGAGTATGGGGAGTGCCAATCCTATTCCTCAACTCTAAATTGGTGTGAGACCCACACATTCTTACTCCCATTCTAAGATAAAAATGGGTAAGTAAACATGAGGTTGATTCTGATTCTCAATTCTCATTCCACAACCCTGATAAGTAAACATGCAATTACTGTGTTGTATACTATTGCTAATCATAACTGAAATTTAAAGTTTTTCTAAGATGAGTTTCAAGATCGTGGGTTTCACCATAAGAACCCAAGGGGGAAACCATCCCCAACAACAACCAAAAAAAAAAAAAAAAGAAAAAGAAAAGCTTTGCATCTATAATCTTAAAATTTTGAAAAAATGGATTGGTAACTTATTTTGAGGCTTGATTTTGGGTGCGACCTACTCTGTGTCAGTAACGGGTTAATGTGGATTTGTGTTCTACTATGTGAAGAGATCGAAATGATATATTTAAGACATAATCAGTGAAATAACATATTTGATGTGGTGTAGTTTATAGCATAATTTAATATCTTAGATTTTTAACACTATTAAAAACTCAAAAATATCCCTAAGCTCTATCTTAGTCCCATATCTCTCTCTTTCTCTCATCTAATTAGGTCCACTATGGCCTACGCCGATGACTAGCGGTCAGTGCCGGCATCTAGTAAATTCTGTATTTACCAGTAAATATTATATTTACCATTAAATACTGTATTTACCGTAAAATATTATATTTACAAAAAATACCATGTTTACATGAAAAATATTGTAATTACCTAGAAGTCTGTCCATCAGAGCCAGTGGCCTTTAAATACCATATTTGCTATAAAATATTGAATTTATTAGGAAATACAGTATTTACTCAGAAATTTGACCGCCAACACAAGTGGCTGGTTAATATTGTATTTACTCATAAATACAATATTTTTTTAAAAATCCGGTCGCCGATGCCAACAACCGGTAAATATTGTATTTACCTAAAAATACCGTATTTACCTAAAAGTACTGTATTTACTCAAAAAGCTGATCATTGGGACCGGTAAGTACGGTGTTTACCTAAAAATACCATATTTACTTGAAATACCGTATTTACTTACAAACGCGAAAACTTTTCCTATCTGCATCAGAAACTAAATCACGATAAAAAAGAACAAAAATCATGATTAAAAATGGTAAATACATAACTTATTTTTTAAAAAATACCACTAAATTAAGATAACTACAAAATCAATCCCCAAACCCCCAAAACGGATAACCTTAACTTCTAAACCAAACTTTAACAACACAAAATCATCCACCCGTTGGTCGCGACCCAAACTTACTGCCAAACAACCTATCGCCCATCCCCACAACATCGCCACTGAACTTGTATAAACAATCACAAACCCAAACAAAACCAAATTGCAAAAAATGATGTCATCGTCGGATTCACAGAGATCGACAAAAAAGAATTTAAAGGATTGTATTTTGCTTCTTTTGAAAACTTAGGGTATAATTTTGAGATAATTTAAAAATAAAGGATATATTCATTATTATTAAAAATTAAGGGGTAAGTTTTAGATTTACCGAAACTGGAGGGGTCCTTTTTGAATTTTCTTCAAAAGTAAGCAGAAAACTAAAGTGGAAACTCTTCCCAGTTCCCACGTACGGCCAAAAGCGCGTGGAATCCGAATATCCCGTTCACCTTTTCCCTTAAAAGCCAGGAGCTTACGTCTTCCTCTAATCACAACCGTCGATCACCCAAATATCTCCTTCGCGAGCCGACAAAAATAGGCGCGAGAAACACCGTAACATCGCTCGCCATGTCTTGGTTCGAACATTCGAACCAAACCCGGAGCTCAGGCTCGGATCCGAACTTGAGGCGCTTTTTTCGGTATCTCATTTTAATTTAATTTAATTTTCTTTTCTTTTATTTGTATTTTTTTTCCCGTCTCTCACGTTGAAAATGCATTAATAATGTTTTAAGACACTGTTTGTTTCCAATCCCCTTTATCTTCGGCCTTCTCTCTCTTTCTCTCTGGTCTGAAAAATCATTTTTGTATTTTCTCGCACACTTTCCTCCTCTGCGCAGTGGGGTTTTTTTTTTTTTTTTTTGGAGAGAGAAGGAGAGAAAGTTTCAGCTCAGGCAAGCGTTGGAGTGAGAGAAAGCATTCTGCGTCGTCGTTTTGAAGCTCTAAAAGGAAGAACTGTATAATTTTCAAGGTAAATTATATTATATTATATAAATAATAAAATATATTATAATTTGTATATATAAATGTAAATAGAAAACCACACGCTTTGATCAATTGCCAGAAGAAACGACGCCGTAAGTTCCACGCTCCTGAAGAACCCTAAACACTCTCCGCTCAGATCACACAGTAAGCAAGCTTCTTCCCAACTGCACTTGCTTTGATTTTGCTCTTGAATTCCAGTTCGGAAGCTCGTTTTCGCTGCTTTGAGCTGATTCCTTGTAGTGTAAGGATGAGTGATTTTGGTTGCGTAAAGTTTTGAGCTTTTTTCGGGGCTTTAATTCTGGTCAAATTTAGCTTTGGAGTGTTCAATAATGGCGATTTCTCTCTTGCCTGCGAGGAATTGAGCTTGGAATGTCTGTCTTGTGGAGGATTTTAGGGTTTGGAGGTTTTTTCTTTTTGTTTTTTTTTTTCAAGCTTTAATTTTGCTTTGTAAAGCTTAATTGTAGTTTCTGAGGGGATTTTGTTCAGTTTTTCCATAGTTTCTGTGATTTTAGAGCTCACATTAGCTCTAATGTTCCAAATTTTTCTACCTTTTTGGTCAGCTTTGTAGCCTCTCATTTTCTGTTTATCCTTCGAAAGACTTTTGGAAGACCATAATTTTCCTTATCTGGGAGCGGAAAATTTAGGGAACATATAAAAATTTCTTTTTTGGGGGTTTTTTTTTTTTCCATAAAAGTTATTTGAGAGTAGAAAAGTTCGAAATTTTGAAGCTTCAATCGAGTTCTTAAATTCCGACTTTCCAATATTTTTCCCTCTTAACCTAAGTTTTCCTTGAAATTAAATGGAGAAATTCTTGGCACTTGCATGAAGTTTTGAACTTGGTCTTACAAGCCTCTTTTCTCCTTTTTTGTTTTGGTCCCCTAATTCTTGTTGCCTGATTTTATTTGTATATTTTTTCTTATTTCTAGACGTGCCCACTTGAACTTTAACATTTAAATTTAGCCATATAGGCATGCTTTTCGCATACAAATACCTGTTGCACTCTGTCTTAACTCGAACATTATACGTTGTACGATGGTTCTCCGTCATACCTTCTTTTATTTTTATATTTTTCTATGACAAGACTATAACTGCAATTTGCCACTATTTTTTGACATCTTAATTATGATTATTTAGTATTACTGCCAATCTCATTTGTCTATTAAAACATTTTTATGTAGGTGGTTTCAGACGTATGCTAAGAAAGAAATTGTTTGCCTTCTAGGAGTAAACTTGTTGTACGAGTTGCACGTTAAGCACATCAAGTTTGTAGTCAAGCATTACTGTGACTATGAAGTGGTCCAGTTCATAATGGTATTCTCTACGGGCATAAGCATTTTCAGTGAAAAGAAGTATCTGGAAACAGGGTTGTAGTTGGATATTTAATGCCTGGCAACGAAGTTGAAGAAAGGATCCGAATTCTTTATGAGCTAGAGAACTTTTCGCAGGGTCAGCATCTATCTCACGCTGTCAATGACAGCCGGCCCGTGCTTATTTATAATCAGTGGGTTGAAAACCAGAGACAGATCAGTGAACCACTGAGCTCCAATCTGAAGAACTATACTGTCCAACCATTAGGTTTGCTCTGATTTTACTTGTGGTTATAATGTTTCCTAGAGGCCTCTGTTTAGTACCATTAACTGCTTTGTACTTAACACTGTTAAATAAGAAATGGTATTTTTCTGCCTTAATCCTTGCAATGTGAAGAATTCACGCTTTCTGAAACCCCTAATTTTTTATGTTTGCAGGTTCTTTGGGAGGACATGGAAGTGAATCTTTTTGTGCATTTGATCAGAATTATGGACAATTGACTCGAAGATCTGACTTATCTGATACTCTATCCATCAAGCAAGAGCTAAACACGAATGGCTTTATGCTTGGACGGCAGAGTTTCCAGGAAAGGCAGAACAAGTTGGAGTTTTTGGCTGAGAATACAGGTCTTATTCCACATAATTTAGCACTGAGAGGTTTATCTGTCCTTAAATCTCAGCAAGAATATGCTCCAGGGGACAGTCCCACCCTGACAACTAATTCAGAAAGGTCAGAAATGACAGATGCTTCCACGGAGTTTAACTTCGTCGGTGGGCAGCAGCAACTTGTGAGGGGCCAGCAACCGGGTGTTCCACAACCTACCTCAATGCAGCAGTCTGGTTACAGTGACGTGCAGTTGTTACAGCAGCACATAATGTTCAAACAGCTGCAGGAACTTCAGAAGCAACAGCAACTACAGCAATTTGGTGATACCAGGCAACTAAGTCAGCACTCTTCAATCTCTAAGCAGGGTTCTGGAGTTCAGTATCCGACTCTCATCAATGGAACACCTGTAAATGATGCATCACAAATGTTTTTGAACAGGATGCAGCGTGGTGCATCTCCTGCTTCTCAAGGTATATCTAACAGATCTGTTTTTTTGCAAGAGCACGGTCAGACATTGCGTTCAATGCCTCTGGTTTCTCAGCAGTTTGATGCCTCATTATATGGTACTCCTGTTGCTAATGCAAGAGGTACTATGAGCCACATTCCCAATGTTCAGGGGATGCCACATGATTCTCCCAATTTGTTTAACAAGGTCGGTGGCCAAATACAGAAACCTGTAATGCAATCGATGGCGGTCAATAATCCCTTTCTAGGTGATCAATATAATTTTTCTCCCGACCAGGCTTACCTGCCCCAAGGGGCTTTTATGTCCAAAGATGGACTTCAGGGAAAAAATATGTTTGGACATGTTCCCCTTCAGGGTTTTAATGGTGGTGGTGCATTGGGTAACTCTTTACTGGGCACTTCCCTTCAAGCAAATGCTCCATTGCAGGAACTTAGTGCAAAGCAAGAACCAGCTGGCTGGCCTGGAGTTTTGCAGCAGAAAACAATGCAGCTCGCCCCTTCACAGGGTTTTGCTTCCCTTGATCCAATGGAGGAGAAAATTTTGTATAATATGGATGATGACGTTTGGAATGCTCCCTTTGGTAGGCGCAATGACGTGGTCACTGGTTTTGGCAATGCTTTGGAACAAACTGAATTGAATGCATTTCCTTCTCTTCAAAGTGGTAGCTGGAGTGCTCTTATGCAGTCTGCTGTTGCAGAAGCTTCAAGTAGCGATACTGGAATGCAAGAGGAGTGGAGTGGATTGTCATTTCAGAATACAGAGCTCTCGACTGATAATCAGACTTCAAACATCTTGGACAAGGAGAAGCAACAAAGAGGTTGGGCTGATAATAACCTGCAGAGCGACTCATCCTTGGGTTCGAAACCCTTGTCAATGCTTAACGATTCTAGTGTTAATTCTAGCTTCCCTGGTTTTCATCCAACAGGCTTTGCATTCATGACCAGGCAGAGAGAAGATCTTCACCAGGATGACTCTCATGAATCCATTCAGAAGTTGCCCAAAGACGCAAGTGAGTGGCTGGATTGTAACCCTCAACCTCCATTACCTATGGAGGGAAGTGAGCAGGTTCAACAACCAATGCACTTGGACAATTCATGGGCTTCCCAAATCAACAAGCTTGCAGAAAATAATGCACATCAGCAGAGAATTGCCTCATATCATATTGTTAGTGATCCGAGTAGCAAACCAGAAGGTGAGTATTTACATGCTGATCAACTTGTAGCGTTGCTAGTATTTTCGGCACTTATGATGATGAAAACTCTGGGTGATTGTTGGACAGGTCATGCTAGTGAAGCCATGTACAAGAAAAACGATTCCGATGGCTTTCCATGGAAGACTGGTGGTGATTCATTTTCAAGATCCACTGGAGGTTTGGCCCAAGTAGAATCTGATACGGATAGTAATCTGCTAGGCAGAGAAAATGCACAACTGTTCAACTTTGCTGCCCTTCCAGCTTCACGCATTAGTAAGGCTCATCAGGAAACAAGTCAGCAAGTTGCGGATAGTAATCAGCTTGATTACGTAACACAAGTTAAAATATCTATGAATAATGAAGAGAATGACAACACAGGAGTAAAAACGTATCAGATGAGCAACATCACGAATGTTATGCAGGACTCTTATAGAGGTGCTGAAGCATATGGGCAGCAGCAGAACTGCTCTCCACGGGACAACTTCCATAAACAAGGACATCTGGGGCAGTTCAAATTTATGGGTGATGTTTCTAACAATGCTTTTAGCTTGGACAAGGTGAATTGTAGATTCTTTTCCTCTTTGACTAGATTTATGGTGATCATAGTTGCATACCTCATTTTTTAATTCAACTTTGCTATTACAGGGGCATTTACCTAATCTTCAAGGAGATTTAAGGGCGTCAGAGGAGTCTTCTGGACGTAATCTTAATATATCTGCTACCTTTCACAGGGCAGTTGGTTCTGGTGGCTCAAATATAAATGCTCAAACAAGGTAGTTAATTCAAAACATTATCATAGAACGGAAATGTTGCTATCATAATAACTGCAAAGCACACTAAAGAGCATGTCACTGCTTTCCTGGACAAGCCTTGGTTTAATCATGTGCTTATAATTTGTGTGCCTTTTTTTATAAAATAATAATAATAAAAAAAAAGCTTTGTCTTCCTGTTTTCAATTTTCCTTCTCATAATATATTTGTTTCACTTTTATTTTTTAGTATGAAATCTCTGACCAACTTAACCATGGCAGTCATGATATGCTTGAGCTTCTTCCCAAGGCTGACCAATCAAAGGAAAATACCACTGTGTCCCATTTTGGCTCCACCAACTTTAGTCCGCTGCACGAGGTGGCTGAGGCAGGAAATGTGCGGGCACCCATTGCCCAAATGTACAATCAATCATCTGTTTCTCAAGGTTTTGCTTTGAGGTTGTTTCCTCCATCTCAACAGCTAGTCAATTCAAACGCATTCATCTCTCAGGGTTTGCCACAAACTGCAAGTAACCTCAATTTAAGGCAAGGACATTCTAATCTAGGCGAGAAAAATCAGACCCAGTTAACTCCATCATTTCAGTCGTTGCCGGCTTCAAATGAATTGTCTCCAAGAGAGAGCTGGGGTAATAAGTTTAGCACTTCAGAACGCTCAAACATGTCCTCATCTATGTACGTACATCAAAGCTCTAATGCAGCAATTCCTTCCAATCCTCCACTTACCAGGAATCTACTTCAAATGCGGCCCATGTCAAATGGACCTGTGTCTTGCTCATCTCCTCAGGGATCATTGCATGGTACGGCTAGTAGATATCCATCTTTTAACATCGATCCATCTCAAGATACTTCCCAACAGATACGTGCCAACCTTTGTGGTCAACAATTTCCAGGTTTTGAGGCTATTACAACCCCTCAGCCACCTGACAGCATGCTACAACAGAGTGGGTTTTCGGCATGGCCACCGAGTTTATGGACAAGTACGCAGCATTATCTCTCTAGCATGGAACCTTCTAAGGTTCCCCCTGTGGAACTTTCAAGAAATAGTGTGGAGAGCACTTCATTGACTCAACAGGAGCTAAATGACCAAGATTCTCAGAAAGCTGGATATGAGCCATCAGATCTGGGCAGATTACATCAGAGTCATTACCATTCCCCAACAGTCTCTGAAAGAAGTTATGAATCCTTTGACCATTCCATGAAGCAATCATATGGTTCCCGTCAAAACTACTCCCTGCTGCACCAAGTTCAGGCAATGAAGAATGCAGAGACTGACCAAAGTACGGGGGTTCTAAATATACGGCAGGTCAGTGCTATAGTGGGACAGCAGTCGGCGTATGAACCTAATTCAACATCAAGGAACTACAAGGACGATGGACTAAATTCTGCTTTACATCTTAGGTCATCGTCATCTGGAGATAATAAAATGCCAAGCTTCCTCCCCGAAGCGAGAGAAGATCTGAGGGTAAAAGCTTCATCACAACCTGCTCTCCAAGAGATGCCTACTCAAGAAGTGGCTGCATTTCGTCAGAATGATATTAGTAATCAACCTAGTGGCAGTAATGTGGTATCTGAGCACGTAGAAAATCCTCTAGCTAGTCTAAATATGGTACCATCCTGGTTTAAGCAGTATGGAACTTTAAGAAATGGACAGATACCTCCACTATATGAAGGAAAGCTTGCAGGGAGTGCAGGAGTACAGTCCTCAATTTCGAAGCCTTCTCAGAATTTTGATATTCATTCTTCTGTGGAGCAACTGGATGTTGCTGATGCCAGTCAGAGTAGCCGGGTTTTGCCAAGCACAGCTGCTGCCGTTGTTGCAAGTGAACCCTTTTCAGCTTCTTACCTGCTCTCTTCAGATGTCATTGGCCAAAGTGCGGCTACCGTGAGACCAAAGAAACGTAAAACTATGACATCTGAACGTTTACCGTGGCACCAAGAAGTAACTGAAGGCTTCAAGAGATTTCAGGATATGAGGTATTTCCAGTGGTGCCCACTATTCACTTTTGCGTTTAATTTGTCATTAGATAATAATGTTCCTTTTCTCATCTTTTTTTTCTTTTTCAAATGTTTTTCCCCACAGCATTGCAGAACAAGAATGGGCACAAGCCTCATACAGGTTGATTGAGAAGGTGGGATCCTAGTTAATTGAGCCATGCAACCCACTCATTCTTCTTCATGTAGAAACTGAGGTCCAGAAAAGGTTAAAACTTCTCATCTTTGTTGTCAGGTGGAAGATGTTGTTGAAATGATTGAGGACAGACCACCATTGCTTCGAACAAAGAGAAGGCTTGTCTTGACAACACAGCTCATGCAGCAACTGCTTTGCCCCGCACCAGCACCTCTTTTAAGAGCAAATGCTGCTTCTCACTATGACTGTGTGGTATGCTATGTTGCCAGATTATCACTGGGAGATGCATGCAGCCTCGCTCATGGCCAAAGAAATGATTTGTGCAAGCCACTAATCAGTGGTAACATGTATGTGTTGTTGAACATTTTTTTTTTCCAAATGAGTGCTAGAGAGTTGAGTTTGACTTTTAATGTTGAAATGCTGCATAGTTTGTAGTCGAAGATAATGTGTTTTAAGCTTGAGGTTTACGCTATGGAACATAAATTTGTCTGTAAAATTTGTTTCAGGCTTTCGGAGGAGCTCAAAGTTTCAAAGAGCGCTGAAGCTGAACATTTTTCAAAAGCTGTTGAAGATTTCACCAGGAGATCAAAGAAAATAGAAAATGACTTGTTAAGGTATGAAATAATTTTGACATTCTTGTCAACCTCAGTTATCATATACCGTAGGGTTAAGTGCTAGATGTTAATTCAACAACTCTGAACCCTTAGTTGGAAATTGGAATAAGGCTTAGTTAAGTTGTTTGTCCAAAACAAACAAACAAACAAAAATTAATAACACACAATAACAAGAGAGAGTGGGGGAGAGAAGAATTAGAGGAAGTTCTGGATTGATCATGTGCACTATTAACGCTTGAAGTCCCCTACTTATCATGTCCACCAGGAAATGTCGCTGTTAAGCTATGGAATTAAAATTTTCATCAGTGCATCCTCCCCTAAAAATTCTATCATTCAGAATATTTCTGAACAAGCTGTATCTGGCAGCAAGCAAATATTCAAAACCCTTTTAACTTTAGGACATTCTTTTAAAACATTCAATTTGGCGATGCAGATTAGACAAGGCAGCATCAATTTTAGACTTGAGACTGGAATGCCAGGAGTTGGAAAAGGTTTCTGTCATCAACCGCTTTGCCAAGTTCCATATCAGAGCAGGGGATGCCTCCGGAACTGCATCTTTCTCTGGTACAGCTGCACCGAGAGTGCTCCCCCAGAGATACATCACTGGACTGCCGATGCCCAGCAATGTGCCAGAGGGGGTACAATGTCTTTCACTGTGATTATCAATTGATTGATCTCCTTCTCAATTGAATCTTCTTACGATCTATATATTCCATCGGCATCTCAATGATTTCTTTTCGTTGATAAACATTCTGGCATCAAAGAAAGAAGAGGATTGAAAAATGGAATGCAAGGAAAATACGGCCCCAAGTGACGAGACTGCTAGTTCATTTTTGAACAAGGCCAATTGTTGTCATTTTTGAGAAAGTACATATTGTTTCTTGTATATTTTGATGAAATTCCAAGGAGGATAGGTAGTACCCAAAGTAATATTTTCAAATAGCAAGAGGATCCTTGGTATGAATGTCTCTCCAGTTTCCAACGTCTAATTTAGTATACCTAATTTAGATAGGTACATATAATAGCTGTGGTGGTGTTGTTTCTATCTCTTTTGTCCTGTACTTTTTGCCCTCTTTTCAGGTGTATTTCGCATGGATTTTGGAGGACAGAGGAGTTGGCGTCTTGAAGGTCAAGCAATAGTCAAGCCACCAAATATGTAAATAGGTACATTTGGTTGTAATTTTATAGTGCTTGTTTCTGCCAAACTAATTCCACCAGGTTCTTTTATTGAAGAGACAAGCATTGGGGTTTAGAAGGTTCTCAAATTTTGCATTTCCTTAATAATTTATTCTCCTTTGTCACGTGTACTAGTTTTAGTTTTGGCTTCAGGTTTGTTGGGGAGCAAAAAATCTATAAAAAGGTTATAGAAGCTTCTATGACAACTTTATATTTATACACTTAATTTAATCTTTTTGAAGAGTACAAGGGTTCAGACAAATGATTCTGTGTCCCTCAAACGTCACAAAAGGGTGTGCATGCATGATGTGGTAAATGACAAGAAAAGGGCTTTTATTGGTTGATGACAAAGCATGTATTTTATTGTCTGAAAGGATATTCAGTACTTTTGATAGTCTTAGCCACTCTTGCTTAAAAATAAAAATAAAAAGTTGACTGCAAAGCAGCACTGACACATCAGAGAAAGTTTGTGATCCTCTTTAATAATAAATTTGGTGTCCACTCTGTCAGTATCAGTATCTGATCCATTCATGATTGGGAAAGTGATGTGAGAGAGAGTAGAGAAAATCTTTTCTGAACCGGTAGAAGAATAAAGAACAATGAAACAAAGAAACATTCCCAAATCTTTTACATAAAAAAATGACAGCTCTTGTGGGGTTGTGCATACGAGGAAGCTTTAATTGGTTGACACCAGACAGCGTGTCTTTCTAAACAGAATAGCTGACAACATTGCTGGGTGTTTTTATTTCCACACAATACTGATTCTCTTCCATCATCACCATTGTGGGGCTGTACTAGTTTGCCACCATTCAAAATGGGGCCCAGCTCGTCCTGGTCACTCCATGGATACTCATGCTTCGGTGGACTTTGATTTTATTATATCTTTTTTTGAGGGGTTTAAGGAAATACAGTTCGGTGGTCCTAAATGAAATATTCATTATTTGTTTCTACATGGGTGGCTTTTCTTGTCAAATTGAAACCATAAAGAAAAGGTAACATCAATACTCAACGCTTTTGCCATGCCTATCAAATGATAAGATGTGGGTTCTTTTGGTTGGGAACAAAGATATTGAACAATAAAGAACCTCTAGCAAGTCAAACAGGGAAAAAAGTAAACATGACAGGATATATTTTCCGAAGTGCAGGAGAACATGCAAAGTTACTATTCTTCCACAATTTGCTTGGAATTTGGCTTGGCTTAACGTGAGAAGATTGTTTCTTTTGTTTTCAAGGGCAATCAAATTCACTCAAAACCTTTAAACTATACTACTAATTGTAACGAGTAAAAATCTAAAAATCATACCTCTCAACAGCAGTCACTGCAAATGCACAAATTCGTTATACTCAAAAGAAAATGGTAATAATGTGAAGAGGGAAATGAATGCACTCGTCTCTCTTCTCAATGGCATCATCTGTCAAATATATATATATATATATATATATATATATATATATCACCTTCCATATGTGGGTTGGCAGCTATCATGTCTACCTGAACAACAGGCTGAGTCGGAAATTGATTTCTACCGGCACACTCTTTTCTGCATCAGTTCGTGTTACTAAAATCTTGGAGGATTCTATCAAGAAAAATTGAACTAAGAATGTCGATTTTGCAAACCCTAAGCGAACTTCATAGTCGACTTAATCAAAAAGGTAGGACTGTAACTTTAGCTTTTGCGCTACAAGATATAAACGAATTGACCTATTCATCTGGGGACAAATAAACGCTTTCTTCACACAATTACCACCAAGACCATTCATGATTCATGCTACCTATGGATAATTGTTATGATCTTTTTTATCGTGGTTTTGATGTCGATTATCGCATGCACAAACACTTGTAAAAATCAACGTACTTACAAATCCATGATAGAGCGATGTGATAGATCATCAGAACATTGGCACCACATTGTGATTGCATCAGGATAACAGTTCCGAGAAACTTTTATAGGACAGGAAATTTAGGCCGTGGGGCAACACAAAAGTTTCAACCAAAAGAGAGCGAAATGGAAACACACCAAAATTATCACAGGAGATTTACATACATACAAGATGGGGAAACTTTTTCTTTCAAGGTGCTGTTGCTCTTTTCTTGGTGATAAATAATCATTTCAAAGCTATACAAACCTGTGTGGTCTAATCGTCGTAGTGAACAATCAAAGACATGCAAAACTGTCCATGGAATTCTCTTTTTCTGCATCGGCAGGACTTCTCTTCCCGATTAAAACTGCTGAAAATCTCATCTCGCTCCTTCTAATCGAGAAAGGAAATTAAGGGGCTATTTAAAGAAATGCCACATTTATTTTTGTTATTGTTATTTTTTTTTTTTTTTATCAAAGCCTTAGATTTATTTGTGCCTTGAAAAAATAATATTTTTAGAGAACAACGTCATACCACGATATTTCTATACCAAATAATATTGGTAATAGTCACCAGTAGCCGCCTTTATCCTATCAAGATACTTAGAGGTTTCCCGCCATGATACTAAAAATTTCGTCAACCGCTATTGGTGGGTATCCTACCATGATACTTGGAGGTATTACATCGTACTGCTAGAAGTTCAAGCAATCGGCGATCGTCTGTATACTATCATGGTACTTAGAGGTATTCCGTCGTAATTTCAAAAATTTCAGTGACCGACGATAACTGGAAGTGACCTCCGTATCCTACCAAGATACTTAAGGTATCTTGTCGCATACAAAAAACTCTAATAAACAATGGTAGCTAGCGATGATAGCAAGGTATCCTATCGTGATACTCTGAGCATCGATCTCTACGCTCCTCAAGTTGTAAAATTCCTATGCACTCGGATCTTTTCAGATTCGTTTGGTACGAGAATTTAAATCAGGGTGATTCTAATCATGATTTTAGAATCAGAACCATGATTCATGATTTTAAGTTCAACTCATGATTCAGAATCAGATGTTTGAATCACCTTGAATCAAGAGGAGGGGTGGTTTTAGAATCATAATTTGAGCTAGTTTAAAACATCATCACATCAGATTCCGAATCATGATTTAAAATTATGATTTAGAATCACTGTAAATAAACACTGATTCTGAACTAGGATCCAGAATCTTGATTCTGGATCCATCTACCAAACGCACCCGAAGGGTGGGGTTTGTGGCGACGGCGGGAAGAAAAAGAAAGAAAATAAGGAAATAGTTTATAAGGAAAAATATAAAAAGAAAGAGAAAGAAAAACTCTATTTATGTTTAAAATATGCCAAAAAAAACACATGGAAAATTTCTCTCTCAATCTCTCTCTCTCTCTATATATATATATATATATATATATGTTCATTAGCATAGCATATTTTACAAGATCAGAGTGGCTGGCATAAGTCGAGTTCGCCCTCAGGTTATGCTAGTTAACTGGCATTTTCACGTGAAAGTGGTATATATGAATAAATAGATATAGAGCCAAACTAACACTGCGTTGAGAGCTTGAAAAGTGGTACCAACCTAATAGATATAGATGCCCAATTCTACCAGCCTGTATCCTGTCCAATATGAAAACGATTAAAAACGGGAGAGAAACGGCGTTTGGCACAATTAAAGATAAAAAACGGAAATGAAAATGATTTTTTAGTTTAGTGTAAAATGTGAGAGAAATGAAAAAAATACTTTTAGTCGTTTTTCATTTTTTGTTTCCATTTTCTCCTCTCTCGAGCAGAGAGAGACATTAATAGATTTTTTTATACTGAAAATAATCTCTTGATAAAACTACCAAACGCATTTTCAAAAATGATTTCTATTTGAGATTGAAAACGCTTTCATTTTCATTTTCATACAGAAAACAAAATCAATTTAGAACGAGATCCAAATGCACCTCATATGTTCACAATATGAATTTTAGTTGCGTTAATATAAATAGAGATGTGAGAAAAATGAAAATGAAATTAGAACGATAAGGGAAAAGCATATAGGATTGGTGACTTACTCGTAGCTAGACGAAACTTTTGGTCACTCTCTTCCTCCGATCTCACAAAGAAAGATAACTACGATCGGCCAAAATGTTTTTGACTACACATACAACTTCCTACCCCACACATACACACACAGACATATATTCAGCAAAAGTCACTAATTATGGCCATGTGAAACCTCTCACGGTGATCTCTCACAAGCTAGCCAACATGGCTTCAAGGTCACTTTTGTCTTTTGACTACACATACAACTTCAACCGCGGGAGAATCAAGAGTGCTATGGATATGATAAGAGCTACATGAGATCTCGTACAAATTTATTCACATCATGCCTCGAATTTTTTTTTTTTTTTTTTTTTTTTTTTTGAGTTGGAGTTTCAAGTGGAATGGAATGGAAAGATACAACTCTTTTGTTTAGTGAAAAATCTTAATAAATACTCTTTAAAAGTGTATGAGACTTAATTTGTACCATTTATTATTGATTAATACTATTTATAAAAAACTATATTAAAAAAATAATACTAATTAAGAGTAAGGGTAAAAATCTAAACTCGTGTACTTTTAAGAGTAAGTTCAACAATTTTTTCTTGTTTTTTTTCCTCTTGTTTCTTTCTTTTAGGACTTAAAATTTAAAGAAGGAAGATTTTATAGTACGCCTAGTCAAGTTTTTTCTAACTGCTAGATATGCATATTTTTTGACTTTTACGCAATTTTATGCAGATCTGACAGACAAAAAACTTAACCTACTGATATGTTAGCATACCAGAGAAGGCCTCTTTAAAGAATTGCGGTGCGCTTGTGTAAATGTGAGTTTGAAAAAAAAAATGCATCCCGTGAAATTGTGATCCTAACATTGCCGCTTATTAAGTGGTGTCTTTTTTCAGCATCGCATGTCCATGTAGTCCTACATTTTTTTTATTTTTTTATTTCTTTTTAGAAACCTTTTTTAATACACAAATATATTGGTAGGTCAAGTTTTTTATCTGTCAAATTTATATAAAATCACGTAAAAATTAAAAAATACACAAATTTAATAGTTAAAAAAACTTGACGCTAGGCGTATAAAAAAATCTCCTATATTTTTATAAAACTGTCTATTTTTTTTTTAAGGTATAGAACTGTTTGTGTATAGCCTTACAATTGTGTGTTAGTACCACCATCTATGATGTTGGTGAGAGTACCCCATCAAGTTGAATTCTAAGTAGGTAACGATGTGATCATGTAATACCAATTACTGTACTTTTTTCATTAAAATATGCACCAATTATTGTATGTCTCCAAAAACAATTAAAAAAAATAGAGTTATTAATTATTATATGTCTATAATAAAAAAATACCAATTATTGTACGTCTCCATAAAAAAAGTACCAATTGCTGTATGTCTCTTTCGATTGTGTTTTAGATCAGGCCTATCATAGACAAATAAATAAATAAATTGAGTATATTTTTAAGGCAAAAAAAAAAAAACATTGCGTAGAGGCAATGTTTGTTAGGAGCCCTAATACCTATTATTATTGGATAGCAATAAAAAATAAAAGAGAAAAATAAAAATAAATAGAACACACTTCAACATATAATTCATTCTTAGTATGAGAGCTATGTAATTTGAGTTACTATTATAATCATGAAAAGAAACGCATCATATAATATCCGCTCTCAAAATGCATATTTTAGTCTCTTTGTTTTTTTCTACAGCAAATGGTTGCCCCAAAAATCCCTTACACATATCACAAGAATTAGGGCAAACTGATGTAAAATACTCAAGTCGAACTGTGATCAAAGCAAAAAAAAAAAAAAGTAAAAAGTATAATAAAATTAAGCTCCAAGCCTCCATACAACTTGACAACGTTTTTAAGAACTTGGAGAAGTTATATCTGCATACAATTGTATCCACCTATATATATATTTCATTATCAAGCCTGTTTGTTAGCCAATACATAGTATTAAAGTAAGAATGATTGGCTAGAAACCTGTCCAATTGATAACCCTGTGGGGTAGCTCAACTGTTTAAAAAAAATAAAAGTTTAAAATTTAAAAAAACTGTCCAATTGATAATGTAATTTATGGGACAGAATCAGATACCCCAGCAACATTTTCAGCAAATATTTTATGACAAAGATTGAAAATGATATTGGAGCAGCCAAGCAAAAGAAAAACCCAATAAATCCAAAGAGGAAGACCATAAAGGCCTCAGAGCCGTGCAAGTTAATACCAAACAGTACGACAAAATCAGATACATCATTAAAAAAAAAAAAAATGTTCTCAAGATTAACTCACAGAAAAGGCAGATTCCTCATTAAAATCCAAAAAAATCAAGAAGCTTGAAGACAACAACGTAATTAATAACAATCCCATTTCTTTCAATTACACCCCCATAAAAATGCATACTGAGTTACTACTGACCCCAATTGAAGCGCATCAGGAAAAAGTAAACAGAATGGGCAATAATCCACATGCTTTAGTGGTACCTTATCCGGCAGAGGGACACATTATTCCTCTATTGGAACTTTCCCAACGCCTAGTCAAGGGGGGCCTAAATGTCACATTTGTGAGCACTGAGTATATTCATGAGAAAGTCAGAGAAATAATGGCAAGCAAGGATTATGACATGGTGGAACAGATAAATCTAGCGTTGGTCAAAGATGGGTTGTCGTTGGAAGAAAGGAAGAGGCCAGGGAAACTGTCTGAGTCAGTATTGAAGATCATGCCCGGGAAAGTGGCTGAAGTCATTGAACAGATTAATGGGTCAAGTGGAGATCAGATGATTACTTGTGTGGTTGCTGATCAGAGTCTTGGGTGGGCCCTGGACATTGCTGAGAGGAAAGGGATCAAGAGAGCTGCTTTCTGTCCTGCTGCAGCTGCCATGTTGGTCCAAGGATTTAGCATCCCCAAGTTGATTGATGAAGGAATCACTAACAAAGATGGTGAGATTATACGTTTACTCATGTTCTTTTCCTATTGTGGATCAGTAGTATGCTACATTTATAAAAAAATAAAAAAAAATTATAACGATGCACTAACACTTACCAAAAAAAAATCTTTTTTTATCCTCTATAGTAATGATTTTTCATTATTTTTGAGTTTCGAATGGCATGTCGTTTTTTAATCTCAAACTGGATGACATTTAAATAGGAATGACATGCCGTTTTACTTTTGAATAAATGATGCGCCACTTCTCTCGATCAATTTAAACGACACGTTGTTGTTTACTATGGAGAGTATCGATGACCAAATAAATCAAAGTGCGGTTTTTTGGTACACAAGCATGTCGTTTTCCTCTCATTGAAGACGGCATGCTTTTTTATTTGTCCTTAAAAGCTTATATATCATCTCCATTTTGCATCATCACAGGCGACACTAACACATGGTTTCTTTTTTAAAACAAAAAACGACATGTCACGTAAAAGTTTTAAATACAGACTAGTTGTAGTTTCAAGGAGCACGATACACGACATCTTGTGAAAGACGTGTCTTTTGTGACCCCACAAGCCAGTGTCTCGCAACACGACAACTTTTCTTTTAAATGTACAACGACATGTCGTTTCTTACTTTTGATAAACAACGTTGACAACAGAAAACGACAAGTTATTAACTAAATCTAAATTTGAAAAGAGACAAAACCATATAAGTAAACGACTTGTTTTAACTCGTTATTGATACGAAGAACACATTAAAAACAACTTGTTTTTTTTACCTAAATGTGATAAGCAACAAATCAATAAGAGACGACATTTTTCCACGGTCAACGACATATTAAAATGACAAGTCATTTGTACACGGTGTCATTTTCATGTCAAATGATGAATTTGATAAAAGATAAATACACCTTAAAATGCACCTGTCCTTAACATGTTAAGTACATGTATCCTCCAAAAAAAAAAATGTTAACTACATGTCGTTTATTTTTCCTGAAAAATTACACCTCATAATTCCTTGTCTTTTTCTAAATGAAAAAAGTAAAGAAAATCCAAGTCATTCCTAAGCAACATGTCGTTTACTACTCAAATAAACTGCAGCTTAGAAATGACCACGTAAATAGCATGTCGTTTATAATGCAACATATGCAGCATTTTAATGTCAACGAGGTATTTCCTTTTTGGATAAATTTATTTAAACTAAAAGTGACAGGTGTTATTAATAAATTGTAATATTAACACGTTGTTTGCATAAACGACGCCTAAGTAAAATGACATGTCGTTTGTTGTATTTCTGTAATTTTTCTTCACAGGAACTTTGGCTAAGAAACAGGTAATAAAGTTATCACCAGAAATGCCCGCCATGGACACATCAAACTTAGTTTGGGCCTCCCTCGGCAACACAGACATGCAAAAGTACGTCTTTCAGCTCATGGTAAAAAACAACACATCTGTGAAGAAAACCGATTGGTTACTTTGCAACTCAGCCTACGACCTCGAACCAGCAGCGTTTAAGCTGGCCCCACAAATCCTCCCCGTTGGCCCGCTTCTCTCAAGCCATAAATATTTCAAGGGTTCAAGTAGTAGCACCAGTTCTTGCCTTAAATGGCTTGACCAACACCAACCAAAATCAGTCGTATACATTGCCTTTGGGAGTTCCACAATTTTAGAACCAACACAGTTTGTGGAACTGGCCTTGGGACTAGAGCTCTCCAATAGGCCATTCTTGTGGGTTGTGAGGACTGATAACAATGATTTCCCAAATGGGTTTCTCGAGAGAGTGGCTAATAATACTACTACCAATAGAGGGATGGTTGTGAAGTGGGCCCCACAAGAGAAGGTTTTGGGTCACTCTTCTGTAGGTTGTTTTGTGAGCCATTGTGGGTGGAACTCGACCGTGGAAGGTGTGAGCAGTGGGGTTCCTTTCTTGTGTTGGCCTTACTTTGCTGACCAATTTGTTAACCAGAGTTATGTTTGTGATGTTTGGAGGGTTGGGTTGGGGTTTGATAGAGATGAAAATGGGGTCATCACTAGGGATGAGATAAGGAGTAAAGTGGAGAGAGTGATGTGTGATGAGGAAATTAAAGGAATGGCTTTGGAGTTGAAGAAAATGGCTGAAAATAGTGTCAAAGAAGGCGGTAGCTCTACCACGAATTTCAAGGCTTTTGTTGAATGGATCAAGTCCTAGATCATTTAATTTAACTTCTTTTGTGTTTGATTTTCAACGCTCTTTTTTTCTTTTTTCTTTTTTTTTTTTTTCATTTTCATTTGTTATGCCAATTCCTACACAATCAAAAGCAAACTTCCTACAACAATGACTGTGGTGATTACAAAAGGAAATCCCTTTACATTTTTTTTTTTTTCATTCTCCTTTGTTCTGCCAATTCATACACAATCAAATCAAACTTCCTATGATGATCGTGATTGTGAATTGTGATGATAATTAAAGGAATGCTTCTTCATACTTCATAGACATGTATCTTAACAATGTGGTGAGAGTTACTTGATGGACCTTTCTTAATTAATTAGCCACAGTTCCGGTTTTGTATAAGGTGCTTTTTTTATTTTCTATGAAGCTAATTCTTACTCCAGATCAGGAACTATGTGTTTTTTCTAAAGTGTATTTATGATTGATTAGGGGCTTTCATATATTTGTATAAGGTCTCTTCTAGCCTCTCTCTTTGACTCTCTGTGTCAGATTATTCGTGTTTATTTTTTCATTTTTCATCTTATTTACTTACTAATTATCTATTGATCGGATCATTTCGTTTTAAATGTTTAGATTAGATCTTTGACATGTTTTATTACTTTTTTTATTTTAGCAAATAAGAAATTTTTGACCGGCCGGCCGGTTCCAAGTTCTGAGTTATATCTCTTTGTCCATTTTCACACAACTTCCTATATTGCAACCAATTTGGCAACATCTTTTTCTTTTCCTTAAAATTTTAGAGATACCTCAAGGCAATTCTACTGGAGTCTTAATGGTTTGATATTATCCAATGGGATTGCATGATTTTCTCCTTGAATGGTGCAATCAGATTGAGATATCTCTTTCACAGAGAAGTGGAAGCGTGACCGTGTGAGCTCGCTCTTTGATGGCTATGTGAATGCAAGGACCGCCTTGAGAGATTTTGCTGAGCAATATGAAAAAGACTTTGGATGATCGGTACGAGAAAAAACCTAACCAGTTCTGAAAATGGCACTACCTGTGGAAAAACAAGCAGCAGAACTGTACACTAGAAAGATGTTCTCCATATTTCAGGATGAGGTTTTCAAGTCTCTCGTGCTTGCTGTAAAATTCTCCAGATAGGACAACAAAACCACTAAATACGAGATAGCCTAGATTCGATGAAGAAGATAAATGTCTCGTTTATTTCACCGATTCGAGTTTTTAATTTTAATCTTACTATAGTTAAAAACTCTTATAAAATATTTAAAATTCTCATATAAAGTCACATTTTAATTTAAGTTAAAATTTTAAATCAACGAATTGAGCGAAGCCAAAAAATATACTTGTTGGACCTTAATGTTAGCGAATAAGTCGCTTGTTGTAGTTGTAAGATGTTTGAATTTGAAGGAATCTTATGGGTGCATGTGCTTGCAGTGTTCAAAGCAACAAATGTGTTAATACTAACACAAAAATACATATTAAAGCAGGGGAGAAGAAGTGGCAAGGATGAGATGAGGCTATGTCGGACGAGTATATTACCGATATTTTAACTCTTTTTATTACTCTTTTTTCTCTTTTTTATTTTTGTTATTTTTATTTGGCTTTATTTTTGTATTGTTTTAGACTTTTTCTAATAGGACTTCTTTATTATTAGAGTTGACTATGATCAAAATAAAAAGAACATTTTCAATACTCATTTTTTTATTTTTTTCCTTATCTCTTTAATCTTTATTTGACATTCTTTTTGTATTTTCTTTTCTTTTATGACTTTCTCTAGTATGACATCTTTATCATTGAGATAAGTTTCTAACTATTAGATAATAAAAAGAGCCTTTTTAATACTCTTTTTTTCTTCTTATTTTTTCTTATTTTTTTAATATTTATTTGGCCTTCTGTTTGTATTTTCTTTTTTTTTTTTGGACTTTCTCTAACAAGACCTCTATATCGTTAAGACCAATTTTTAACTATGGTCAAAATAAAAGAGTTTTTTTTTTCTATCTAATTTAATAAACATAAAAGAGCTTATCTTCTCTCATGTTATCACGTGGCGGCATAGGAGAAGAGAGCATTTGGCTCTTTTTATTGCTCCTTTTTTTTCCTTTTTTTCTTTTTTTTTAAATCTTTATTTGGCCTTCTTTGTGTTTTCCATTTTTTAGGACTTTTTTTAGTAATACTTTTTATGTTAGGGTTAGTTTTTGACTATTATATATAGTTAAAATAAAAAAAGTCTTTTAATACTTTTTTTTTTAAAATTTAATCTTTATTTAACCATCTTTTTGTGTTTTCCTTTTTTTAGGATTTTTTTTTAGTTAGACATCTTTAATCGATCAATTGCTTTCCTGAGTACATATGCACTTGGCTTGGCCAATATTCATATTATTTCCTCTTTCGGGCTTAGTCCGTTCGGTCACCTGCTAGAACTGTAACGCTTTTATTCATCTTTACCCGCTCTAATCTATGAAAAAATCACTTTGGCTTTTCTTCTCTCCTTAGAAACTACCACAGGAAGACAGGGAAGCCGCGGTGTGCCATCAAAATGGATTTCGTTTTTAGAAAGCCTAGGACTCAGTGCATTTTGTTCTTTAGGATTAAACTTCCTTCAGGTTGGGACATGAAGACCCACGCGAGAAAGTAAGTAGACACGTAGAAAATAGACAAAGCAAGAAATTCACACTAAAATGGAAATATATAAAAAAAAACAAGTCGAAAGCCGTACAAGTGAAAAGAATAAAAACGAAACAAAAAGATAAAGAGTTGCTCAAGATCAGGGACTCGAGGTCAAATCAATCTTCAAAGGACCGAGAACTTCAACTACAGTGTCAATTGCAGCTATGTCCGCAAAGGGTTCAAAACCTCTATCTTCTATCCTATTGTAGGCCGATAGGTCCGCTATAATCCGCCCACAGAGGTACCCGGGTCAGTTTCTAACCGTTGAATATGATAAAAAAAAAAGTCATTCTATATCTAATCTAATCTAACCAACATAGAGCCAAAATTCTCTTCTATGGAGCCCCCCTTTTATCTCCTTTTTTTTATTTTTGAATTGTTTTTTTATTTTTTTGGAAATTTTTTTACATTTTATTTTTGTGTGTTTTTTAAAAATATAGTTTTCCACTTTACTCTAATTATTTCGCATGTATTCATATTTTATATTTTACTAATGGTTAAAATAATTTTCTTTAAATGTGTCATACTTAATTATTTTTGTGTAATTCCTATCATATTAAAAGGTTCTCAAATAATTGTATGAATAAATTTCTCCTTATTTAGTAAATGTAAGCTTTTTAGATATCCCTAACATAATAATACGATAGAAACAAGTTAAAAAATTAGTATTACGACAAAGTCTGATCAACAAAAAATCTTCCAATTGATCAACAAGTACATCACCAAAAAGTCTAATCAACAAAAAAATCCTCCAATTCATCAACAAGTATCCGTACAACATTAACTAGAGGAGAATGAGCTTGTCCTGGCTTCCTAACGAAACGTTTCCTTGAAGTTTTTTTCTTCTTCTTTTTTTTTCATTCCACCTTCTTTTTTACTTTTTTTTAATTTTTACTTCTCTTTTTTTTTTTTCCCCAGTAGGTATTCTTTCTTTATTCCTTTTTTCTACCCTTATCTTTTTTACCATTAAAATAATTTATTTTCATAGATATTCATATTCCTATCTAAATTTCTTTTAAATCTTCTTCCACTGCTATAACATTTCGTAAACACGATTTTTTTTATTTCTTTACTTTCCTTTCTTTTTCTCTTTTTGTCTTCCCCTTTTTGCATTCATATATTTTTTATTTTGGTTCTATTATACATTTTCTTTTTTATTCTTCTAAATGAGACCCTAGTAAATATATTTTTTATTTATATTTATGAAATCTATGTTTCTACTAGTATCATCAAAAAGTCTAATCAATAAGGGGATATTTAGTTGGAGGATTCAAACCGTGATTTGAATTATGGTTCATGGTTCGTTACGGTATTTTCTCTCACAAAAAATACACATAAATCGAAAATAATCTAATCACATGATTTTAATCCATGAACCAAACGTCTCTTAAAAAATCCTGATCAGACTAATCAACTAGTATATTACCAAAATGTCTAATCAACAAAAAATCTTCCATTTCATCAACAAGTATATTACCAAAAAAGTATCATGACCAAAAGCAGTTTTATTTCTAACCAACCCATGACTCTGTTGAAATTTGGCTTGCTTGTATATGCTTAAAAAAGTCCTACATCCTGAGTTGTAGAGGTCTCTGGCCTATTATAAATAAGGCTTGACTTGACTCCTAATTTCATCATTCAAAAAATTCTAGGCTTTATTTTATAAGGCTATTAGAGATTTTCTTTTTTCTCTTCAGTTAAATATTTTTAGAGAACCTTTAAGAATCAATTGCAAAAGTGATTAAATTATAAAACAATAAAATTCTTCTATGGGATGAGATTATCATGTCGGATTCCTAAGAAGGCAGCATTGGTCATTGGGGAAAGGCCATGCCAGCGACAGTGGCCAGGCTTTTATATATTTGTATAAGATCTCTTCTAGCTCTCTTTTTTTTTTTTTTACTTTGTTCATTTTTTTTAATTTTTTTTTATCTCATTTACTCGGTATTTGTCTATTATCATATTTCGTACACCAATTTAGAATTCATTTTCCAATGTTTAGATTTAGAATTTTTTCATGTGTTTTTTACTTTTTTATTTTAGCAAATAATAATCATTTGGCCATTTGAATTATGGTGGTACAAAGAGAATTTTACAAAATGCCGAAAAGAAGTTACTTTTGTTTAGTTGTCGTTTGAGCAATCAACACATTTGCTATTACAAAAAAGACCTGTCCCTTAGTTTGAATGAATTTCTTCGGAAGAGAAAAATCTTGATCACATATAAATGTCCGTAACATAAGTTGCTATTTACCTCAACTAATAAATAAATAGACGATTTCCCCATTTAAACAACTACGTCATTTTGAAGGTGTTGTACGTATAGTGGTCTTTTGTCGAATAAAAACGACTTGTTAAGGTGCCATTTTATCAAAAGTTACGTACGTCTTTCATACGCAACGCCGTGATTTTTCTACGCTTTTAATAAAAAATTACATTTTAGAGCTTGCGTGAAACAAGTAAACCATATAGTAATTCTTGCAGAAAAAAAAAACCATATACTAAATCCAGCCACAACAAAGTATATAGTAACATTCGATGACTTTTCATTGTTGTTCTTTTCAATCCGGTGACTTAAGAAACAAGAGCACACATGAATGTCATTTAATCTCAATAATCAGCTTAGTTTTGTCATCGACAAAATAGGATATTTGATGCTTCTAAGAAACCAATCAGATCATGAATGAACATGATGCAGTCATTCCTTTGTCTTTTTCTTTTCGTATTTAAGCCTAAGCTCCAACAAAATTCTAAACCTTTGCATAAGTTCATCTTCAATACTTCCACAAGAATGAAACCATAAGGCAATCACTAGGGAGCAAAAATGAGCAAACAAAAAGCGATAGAGTTTATGACAATTACTTGGGAACAACATCAAATATTCAAAGCAACATTGTAAATGCAAACAGGCCAATAGTTATAGTGAAAGACGGGAGAAAGGACAAGTTAAAATAGTAGATACCTAGGGCATGTTCTTTTACAGTGTAATTTGAGTGTAATTTTTAAGTTGAATTTGAGTTATAATTTAAATAAAGTTGAGTAAAGTTGAATAAAATTGAAACTTAAAAGAACATGAACTTGAATAAAGTTAGATACCTAGGGCATGTTCTTTTACAGTGTAATTTGAGTGTAATTTTTAAGTTGAATTTGAGTTATAATTTAAATAAAGTTGAGTAAAGTTGAATAAAATTGAAACTTAAAAGAACATGAACTTGAATAAAGTTAGATACCTAGGGCATGTTCTTTTACAGTGTAATTTGAGTGTAATTTTTAAGTTGAATTTGAGTTATAATTTAAATAAAGTTGAGTAAAGTTGAATAAAATTGAAACTTAAAAGAACATGAACTTGAATAAAATTAGAACTCGAGTTGTCTTGTTTTGAGTTTTTTAGACAAAAGAACAGGTCCCTAAATTTTAGATCACGTGTCTAACTTTTTGTGTCGAAATTCATGTCTGATCATTTTATTATTCTACGTTATTTAATGATGTAAATATTAAAGCATAGAAAAATCGGTTAAATATGTCATAAATTTTTTATATTACATAATATAATGTGGTTGATTAGACAACATTTTGAATACTTAAAAAGAAGTAATTGGAGACCCTAGATACATCAGTTTAAGATTCAACTCTCATCAAAGCTCATAAAGAAAGCACATTTGATTCCCCATCTCCCGTATATATATGAGACAGATATACCGTTCAGAAACCATATTCAGAAGCATCTAACTCTAGAAATAGAAGTGAAAGAAAAAATGGTCAAACCACATATCTTAGCTTTACCTTTCCCAGCACAAGGCCACGTAATTCCCTTGATGGAACTATCCAAGCGCTTAGTTAATCATGGCTTCAAAGTCACATTCGTAAACACAGATTATAATCACAAAAGGGTCATGAATGCAATGTCAGAAACCAGTCTTGAAGATGATCAAATCCGTCTAGTTTCGATTCCTGACGGCTTGGAGCCATGGGAGGACAGAAATGATCTAGGAAAAGTAATGGAAGCGAGTCAAAGTGTCATGTGTGAGAAGCTGGAAGAGCTCATAACAAGGATCAATGAATTGGAAGGTGACAAGATCACTTGCGTTATTGCTGATGAGTCCTTTGGTTGGGCTCTAGAAGTGGCTGAGAGAATGAAAATCCGGCGAGTCGCCTTCTGGCCTGCAGCGGCTGCGCTATTGGCCTTGGCGTTTAGTGCCCCTGAATTGATTAACAATGGAGTTATTGACAACAATGGTGAGATCCTCAGACTTTAAAACTACTAATTATTCTACAACACTATAATGTTACTAACTTTAGCAGATAATTATGACATGAGTTGATTAACAACTATTAGATTATATGCATACTTCATGACAAAATGGACCCTATAATTTCATAAAATAACATGTCACCTCATTTTATATTTGCTAATATAACTAGTGTTTTTGCAAATAGTCCGACAGGCTTCACAAAATAAGGGGAACAGCCCAACTGGCCAAAAATAAAAATGCTTGAGGCATCATTGGTGCTAAACACCATCACTAATAGAAGGTGGACTTAATTTGTGGATCCTATACTACGAATTTACTTTCTAATAGTGGGTGTCCAATAGTATTCTTCAAAAAACACATATAATAGTGTTGATTTTGGACTATGGAAACAAATTTCCTAAAGTTTTCCTAAAAAAAAAAAATCCATGAATCAATATATAGGAGTCTGTTATAACAATCTTTCTTATGCGTTATATTGTATTTGTCAGGAGTTCCACAGAAAAGCCAGATGATTGAGTTGGCACCAGAAATTCCCGCCATCAAAACAGAGAACTTGGTGTGGGTATGCATTGGTGACACAACCACACAGAGAATCATATTCCAAGCCATATGTAGAAACAACCAATCAGTGAAGTTGGCAGACTGGATTCTTTGCAACTCATCAAACGACCTTGAGCCATCAGCATTCACCTTGGCTCCAGAGATTCTACCGATCGGCCCGATGTTGGCAAGCAATCGACTCGTCAATTCGGCAGGCAACTTCTGGGAAGAAGACACAACTTGCTTGGAGTGGCTAGACCAACAACCACCTTCCTCAGTCATCTACATTGCATTTGGAAGCTTCACAGTTTTTGACAAGAACCAATTCCATGAATTAGCTCTTGGGCTTGAACTTTCCAAGAGGCCTTTTCTCTGGGTTGTGAGGGATGATATTGGAGACTATAGTACAACTCATGCATACCCAGAAGGGTTTCTTGAGAGAATTGGATCTCATGGAAGGATTGTGAGTTGGGCTCCTCAGCAAAAGGTTCTGGGCCATCCTTCCGTTGCTTGCTTCTTAAGTCACTGTGGTTGGAACTCAACCATTGAAGGTGTCAGCAATGGGGTTCCTTTCTTGTGCTGGCCTTACTTTGCTGACCAGTTCCTCAATGAAAGCTATGTTTGTGATGTTTGGAAGGTGGGATTGAGGTTTAGCAGAAATGAAAGTGGGATCATAGAGAGAAAAGAGATAAAGAGCAAGGTGGACCAACTTCTTGATGATGAAATGTTTAAGGGAAGGGCTTTGAAACTCAAGGAATTGGCTATGAAAAGTGTCATGAAAGGCGGTCAATCAGATATTATGTTTAAGAATTTTGTTGAGTGGGTTAAATCTTAGACAAGTTATGGAAAAGTGTTAATGGAGAAGTGACAATCTTAGAAAGTGAAATTATTGAGGGACCTTCTTTTAATTTTACACTGAGCAACCTACTGGGTCACTCCATGTAAACTTCGAAATCGTGTTCCAAATAAAATGTTTTGACAAGTCATTTTACAAATAAATGTTTCTCTAGGTCATTTTTGCAAAAGCCCTTTAGCTTTAGTTGCAAGACTAGGATGTTTGGTAGAGGGATTCGTTCCCTGATTCGAATCATGATTTGTGATTCGCTACAGTATTTTCTCTCACAAAAAATACACGTAAATTGAAAATGGTTCGAATCACATGGTTTGAATCCTCCAATTATTGATGCCCGTTTGATTCATGGATTAAAACCATGTGATTAGAATCATTTTTAATTTACGTGTATTTTTTGTGAGAGAAAATACTGTAGTAAACTACGAATCATGATTCGAATCAGAAAACGAATCCCTTTACGTAGACAAAACAACAGGACTTCCCTCCACTTTGACCTCTTCTAGCCTTCTATATGAAAAGCCACCTCAGAATTAACGACATTATACAGAGTATTTTCCATTGTCCTTTTAGCCTTCCTTTGATAGAGACATGTTTCATGTGGCTTTGACTGCGCCTTAAGGAATTTTGGTGCCTTAGGTTTTAGACTATTTAGACCTTTCAAAAGAATCTTAAGAACCAATTTTCTAGAAGCAAAAGGACATCATAAAGACTATTTTTTCCCCCTATATAGATTAGACATTTTTTTTTTATATAACTCTAATCAAATACAATTTTTTATTCTTCATGGTGATTCTTGCTCGTAAATGTGTCTATACTAGTGCACTACAATCTGAACTAGACTAACAAATCTATATGGTCATCTTCCTCTGTTTTCAAATTAACGCTACACATCTTTGAATGACTGCTCTAAATCCAAGAACAAGAAAGAAAATCCACAATTTTAAAAAAAAATGTAGCAGATTTCACCATAAAAATTGGTATGCAATCATGCCAAGAAGGGGAGGAAAAAAAGAGGAAGCAATAAAGAAAAAGAGAAAGCTATTGATGAAGTGATACTGAAATAGTAAAAAGCTCTCTCTTCCTGTACAGCTCTGCAAGTCTGAATTTTGAGACAAAAAATTTATTGACAAAGCAAGCAGTGAGTGAATACATAGAGTAAGGCAGTACCCACATTAAGTCACAAAACATGCTATTTCTAAGAAACTAATCAGAGACCTTAAATACAGCAATAAAGAAAGATCTTGGAAAATAACAGACACCCAAAACAGGCACAGACCCCTTAAAATTTGGCTTTTGCACATGGGCTAGTGAAGTTGTCACTGTCATCAACAACACCACGCCACACCACCACCATCACAGCAGAGTCAGAGAAGCAAAGCAAAAGACAAGGGCACTGCCGTCCATTTCACTCAGATATTATGTGCAATGACTCACTGTCACCACCACCCACATCCCATGCCTTTCAAAACTGACACATTGTGTAAGTAAGTCTGAGTAAGTATTATGTGTAACTCTCTCTTCTTTTGCTTGCCTGCCTGGCTTAGACACAATCACAAACATGTTCTGTGCATTTGTGTCTCCAAAAGAACTCTTGCCCTTTGCTTTGCCCAACTTTTTTCCCCTCTCGAGTTATATGTTGTAGCTATCAATCACATAGCAGTGTCATTAGACAGGGATAAAAAAGGGCTTGAGAATGTTCAACATTGTTCATGGATTTTTTGCGTTTCAAAAACAAGTTTAACTTTTGGTTTTTTCGCATTGTGATCTGTTCAATAAATAAACCATGAAAACACCGCAATAAAATTCAAGTTGCATAAATTATTTGAATAAAGAAACCCATTAAGGAGAAGATAATACTAATAGCAAAAAAAAAAAAAAAAAAAAAAAAAAAAAAAAAAAAAAAAAAGAAGAATCGGTGCCCATCTATAATATTCAAGATATAAGCCTTGAATACATTTCCAAATGCCCATGAAAGCGTTTTGTCAGATTGATTCTCCATTTATTTCCTCAATATATTTAGATTAAAAAGTCGCCTACTTGCCACAAAATTGAAGAACAGAACTGGGAAAGACGACGTCTTTGGATGCCAAAAGAAAATTTAGAAAAAAAAATCTCAATGATTGTGGTGTGAAACTGTGAAAGCTCCAAACTTTCATCCTTTTTTTTTTTTGTCTCCACTTTCATTTAGACCAAACATACCATGCAAAATGTAGAAAGGAAAAAAATGAAAAAAAAAAAATTACAAAAAATAAAAAAAAATAGCAAAAGACTTTTTTTTTTCTCCTTCTCTTTTCATTAACAAAACCTAGAATCAAACTTACGATACAACATTTTCTGATTCACTGGATCCGTAGAACTCGATGAGTTTCTGCAAAATCACGACCTTAGCCCTCAAGAGGACGATGTAATCCGCGGTTTGCTGGAACAATTGGTCGGCCTTCACAATCTCCCCTTCTTGCGCCGGAATGAGGTTCTTTAGGGCTTCCAATTTGTCCGAGACCTTCGAGCACGTGCGTCCGCCATTATCGCACCTTCTTCGCGACACGGCCGCACAGCAGTCACGTGACCGAGGCCTTCTTCGCAAGCTGCCTATTCTTCTCCTCCTCCTCGTTTTCCTCGCAGAGATTTTCTGGTTCTTCGTCGACGATTTCATCTCTTTTACAAGCTTTCAGCGAAGAAGAAGAGAAGAAGAAGAATGAGTCTGTTTCAGACTGGTAATAGCGAATGAAGAAGGCGATTCGGTGTTTAAGTAACGAGGCATTAAGAAGTTGCCACTTGTATTGTCCATTATTACGGGAATGCCATTCATGGCTTTGTTTTTAAAAAATAAAAATTCGTTTGTCGTTTTCTTGCTTCTCTCTCTCTCGCTTTTTTTTTTATTATTATTATTTTTTTTAAAGTCATATCCATATTCTCTCTTAAGTTATGCCGTTTATGAGATCTCGAAAATGCTCGAGTACTAATCAAGTCCATGACAGGATAAATACATCTCACATGTGTAAAGAAGATTGATGAAAACAACAACTCTATAGTCCAACTCATGCATTTAGTTTCGTTATTATATTGTTAGCTACTAGCTGTTGTTCTTGTCTCTCACTCCTCGGATATTTTCATCAATCGTGTCGATGGCGTTAAAAAAAAGGGGCAGATATTTCATAAACAGTTAGGAATTCTGGCAATAATGACAAGATCGATTCAAAATTCTTTTATTAACTTGCTATCATTTATGACGTATCATATGAGTTAGTTTTCTCTGTGTGAATGAATACATGAAATGCAAGTACATATTTATAAATGTGGTGTGGAAGTGAAAATAAATTGATTAAAACTAAACTCAAATCTCAAATTCTCTAATACTAAAGGTTCGTTTCGTATGAGAATTTAAATCAGAGTGATTTTAATTATGATTTTAGAATCAGAATCATAATTCATGATTTTATGTTCAAATTATGATTCTGAAACCATGATTCAGAATCAGGAGTTTGAATCACTTTGAATCAAGAGGGGGTGGTTTTAGAATCATGAGTGATTCTGGTTTAAAACATCACATCAAATTCTGAATCATTATTCAAAATCATCCAAACCAAACACTGATTCTGAATCACGATTCAAAATCACTGTAAATAAACATTGATACTGAATCAAGATTCAGAATCATGATTCTGGATCCATCTACCGAGCGCATATTAAGTGATGTAGTATATGAGTTGTCATTTTTATATTGACGGGTGTTTAAAATATTATCAAATCAATTAATAATAATAGATTGTATCTACTAATAAAAAAATATAACGCATGTAATACATCAGTTGGTACACAATAGTTGAGATTTGTGTTGGTGTCATTGACATTATTCAAGTAAATTTGTACTCTATTAAATGATCACATTTTGATTAATTATGTGTTAAAGTTTAATAAAACGACCACTTTTAAATAAATCATAACCTCCTGAGAAAAATGTACATTTTTTTAGTTGTTGAAGTTGGAATATTTTGTGATTTGATTACTTTTCTTACTTGGGCGTTGTAGAGTTTTCGTAGTTATTGAAGTTGGAATATTTTGTGATTTGATTACTTTTCTTACTTGAGCGTTATAGAGATAAAATATATATAATATTTAATACAAACTAAAAAAATAAACAAGTAACAATATACATATATATAACATACTAATATAAAATATAAAATAAAACATGAAGCATACTTAATATATTATCAAATTAACAATATATATAATATCAATAGTATTTTAAAAGTATATATATCAATAATATCAATGTATAACAAGTCAATTAATAGTCAAGTATGACGTGTGTGAGAATGATTAAGTCATGTTGATAAAACTTGAACCATTAGATTGAAAAAATAGTAAATTTGAACCCTTACATTGGTTCAATTAATGGTTAAAGTACAAAAGTTATCCCCACTTCTATAGAGGTTGTAGAATAGATTATAGATATTATAGATATTCCCATTTTCCAATTAAAAAAAAAAAAACGGGTTCAGATATTTCAAGATCAAGCAAATAATAATTGTTGGAACGAAGAATAACTTTCCACCCAACAGTTTTTCGCTGATCAATTTTCCTCCCAACAGTTTAAACGACTCGAGCATATCATTTCCATCCCACGCCATCTGTACAAATTATGTCGGCTGATTAATAGATTAGTCCGAAAAATTATCCATGATACAAAATTAATGTACACCTACATATATTGATATAATCAACGTGTTTGAAACCGATTTTGAAAACAATTTTCACATATTTTGATAAGTACAAAATAAAAATAAAAACCGTTTGTTTAGTAAATATTTTAAAAACAAAAACAATGAAAAGATTTTTGTAAAGAAATTAGAAAATAATTAAAAACTATTTTCACTTTTCTGTTTTAATTTTTAGTACTTATCAATAATATTATAATATATTAATTAATAAACACGATTTTACTTTTTTATTATACTCAAAATAATCTTTTAAAAAATCAACTAAACGTAATTTCAGAATCGGTCACAGAATAATTCTAAAAACAATCTCATTTTTACTTTTTATTAAAAATAAAATCATTTTAAAATTAATTCTAAACGCACTCATTGATTTTTTTTTCTTTTTTGTTTGGTTGAACACGTACGTGGACGTTTGGTTCATAGATTCAGAACTATGATTTAGAATCATTCACAATTTACGTATATTTTTAAAAAAAAAATAATGTAATAAATCATGAACTATAATTTAAATCATGACACGAATTTTTGTACTAAAGACTTAATAGATATCATTGAATTGTAATCTGTTTGAAATCCAAAGAAACATTTATGGTGGACCCTACGTTTTGGGGTCCAAGCGCTGTGATTTGTGCAGATTTTTTCGTGAGAGGAAGAGGAGGTTGTTACTGTAATTTCACATGGAGGAGAGCACTAATTTCGTATCCCAGTTAAAAAGAGAAAGCGGGAAGAGTGCTCAACTTGCGAGCCAGAAAGCCTGCCCTTCTGGAACGGCACATGCATGTTCGGGACCGTCTAATTCCCCCATTCCCAAAATACCCTCCATTCCAATTATAATTATCAAACAAAATTTTTCTTAAAAAATAATTATTATCATAATAATTTGTTTTACGATGTTGTTCCCATAACTTTTCAACTCAAAATAATTAATAAAAAAAAAAAAGCCTTAAGAACTTTAACCATACACGGCGAAATATTTTTCCACCATAAAAAAAGGCATGCATGGTGAACCTAATTCAAATTGAACTTTGCCCATGAAAATCCAAATCAAATCAAATCAAATTTACTATACCCAATAAGTTGCATTAACTAGGATAATCTTTATCCATAGCACAGCAAATGTAATCCGACAAGCAGAGGGGACAGAACCGAGTACAAGCAAACACAAGTGGATTAAAAAATTAAGACAAACACCCCCACATAATCCAAAAAAGGGAAAGAACAAGGCATTAAAAAAAAAAAAAAAAGCTTTAGGATGATCCCACTAATGGCTAGACAAAGCCAATTCTTAATGGAAACAAATCGGATGATGCATGTCTACCTAGTCCGAAATTCAAATTTATAAAGGGCAAAATGGTCAAACGGTGAAAAAAAAGGCAAGAGTTGGGACTTGGGAGAACAGAGAACTGCATGTATCGGGAGTGTGGATTCCTTGGAGGGTCCATGTGAAAGTGATATGGGCCAGCAAAGCCCCATTAGAAGGGAAAAGAAAGGGAAAGAAAGAAAGAGAGAGAGAGGAGAGAGAGAGAGAGAAAGCACATGGGAAGCACATGCAGATGAACCATTTTGGAGCGTAGCGTTTGAGAGACAGTGAGGCAGCATGAAATGTACAGCATGTTCTGCACATTCCCTGCATGCAGCTGATCATTTGGCTGCACTTTTTTTTTTTTTTTCCCCCAAAGCCTCATAAACAAACAATCCACTTTTTTTTTTTTTTGCCCTTTTTTGAATAGAAAAATAAATCTTTGTTTAATTGATAACATATTGTTAGTTGGATTTAGTTGATTTTATACACATGTGGGAGAGGCTTGGTTTTGAAGCTAGCCATTTCAATCCGGCATGTGTGACATGTGTGTCAAGTGCACATGACTTTCTTTAAGCATATAGAAGTACTATATTAGTATCTTATTCAATTTGGGAGGCCCAAAACTCGGCTACTTTTTCCGTGCAAAAATATTGACCAGATTTAACCTTTGCAGGAAAGTGGTCCATTTTTTTTTTTCCCTTTTGCTTCTTATCTTTTTTCCTTTTTGAGGATCTTAATTCTTTATAGTTGTTATTATTGTTTTCTAATTCTATCTCGAATGTAGTGAAGAATATGAACATAATGCTCTCATAATTGTAAAAGGTAAAATAAATGGGTTGAAATAGAGACTACTGTTGGATTGATTAGTTGTATTGTTGGAGACATTTTGGTAAGCGAAAATGGCATAGCAATATTGTTGAAGTAAAAGTAACCCTTTTCTGTTTTTTACTTCAGGGATTAAGCTTAAAGCTCTCAGCTCTCTTTATACAAGAATCTTCTCACAATAATCATTTTATTGTTCAAGGAAGTCGTGGTGTTTCCACACATGCTTTGAGTATTCTTTAGTGGAGGATTTTCTGTGCACAACATTTTAACATGTTGTGAAGACAAAAAGCTTATAAACTACGGCCTTATTCTTCAAAATTTATAATTTTTAATCCATTAAAAAAAGGGCGTACCTTTCGCAGACTTTGAAACTCTCTCCATCTCTTAAGTTCACATTTTCTGCCCAAGTCAAACGAAGGAAACAAATACGAATGTGAAAGACAAGATGATGAAAGCCCTTCTTACAAACTCACACATGGTTGTGATGTAACATCTTTTTTTTTCTTCTTCTTCTTTTTCCTTTTTAGTTTTAATCTTTTACATTTTTGTTGAATTAGGTCGACACTTTCTCTCACTTAAACTCTCTCTCGTTAACCATTGAATGTAGTGGCCTAAATGTAGTACTTAATTTTTAGTGTGTGAGACCACACTCCCACACATCCTTACCATTAACACATTCGGTGGGTTGGAGTGACGTGCTCCTCATCTATAAGACCTTAAGCGAGCATTCCTATCATCTTCTAGAGGGTCCTTTTAGTAACGATCGAGAGATATGTTAGTGTTGCGCTTTATTTTTTTAAAAAAAAAAAAAAAAAAAAAAAAAAAAAAACCTTGTTGGGGAGGCTTTCGG